GAGATGTTTTTGCTCCACCGCTGTCTCAGCGGCCTTATTCGTTCCTGCCCGAACCGCCAATATTATATCATCCCACCTGAATACCTGCCGTGTTCAGCACTGCGGAGAAAACCGCATTTCTTTTGACGCGCGCCTTGTGGTCGATGAAAAGGCTGATAGCTGTTAGAAGGAATCCCCGGCAAGCCCAGAGTAACGCTGATGTGTTTCCCGTACTAATCTACACTAAACAGACGCGCAGAAAAATCCCCGGAGGGCTGCTGAATCAGTCGGAGGTAATGTTGAGAGATATGCACATTCCCTTTACTAGAGTCTGAGTTTCTGTCAAAATGGTGACATTTATGAATCACAGCCGTGAACAAATAATTAAAAGAGGCAAGGAATTGCCACTAGTGTTGTATAATTCGCACCTGTCAACGCAATGTATTGCGGATGATGTGCTTGCCAACATATGTTGCATATCATTGCTTCATTTTTAGCCATGGTAGACAGCACAGCACTTTATATTCTACTCAAATGAATCCCTTAATTTAGAATATCAGTCTGAGACCGAGACATAAACATTAGAATTGAAAGAAGAGTAGAAAGTTGTTCGTTGATAATCATCTTTTAGACCCGCAGCCGGAGCCGACGGTCGATGATCAGTGCCGACAGTACCCTTTAAATATTGCGTTTGCCCATATTTATCTTTGAACAGCTTTGAAGGTCTTAGAAGAAGATAGAGGTGATCGTTATTCACCAATCAACAGAACACGTCCGTGTAATAATGATAAGATAACACCATTCAGCCAAATGCACTAGCTTTTTAAAGGTTGCTATAGGCGGTTGTGGTATCAGCGTTCCTGATATTGCCAGAGCTCAGCTCTGGTGTGGTGTTTGATCCTCCTCAGACCATCGAGCTTCACCATCACAATCTTGTCTGGGGATTCCGGAACTTTATTACCAAAACTAACCTTTAGCCCTTCACCAAAGTATGCTGTCCTTTGAAACACAACTGAGGAATCAAATTCTACCGGAGACACAGTGACCTGTGGCTACACGTCTCACTGGCACATCTCACAGACAATATTTAATTACATTACATGGCGACAATGTCTTGTAGGTATCAATATGAGCCCGCTGGGCCATTGAAATGTTAGAATTTAGATCCTCTGGTGATTCCGCGAAACAATGACGGCAAATTCCGCAAATGTGTGGCCCTTGGACAATATCCCGTTGATGTTATGGACTGTAACTTACAGACTGTACTATAATAGGGAGAATGTCATTGCGTATGCCTAGTGTTCGTGACCCATTATGCTACAAAGAGTTTTGGAGAGTATACTGACTTGTCGGATGTACAAAAGTCTTTTAATCCAAACTAGATCAAACACATGCTTATTAAAGATTATACAAGCTTATAATAAGTCAAAAACGATTCGATGATTGGTGTTATTGGTGCATACATCAACGTAAAGAAACTGCCTCAACAGATGGCTGCATACAAAAGACATCATCCCGCATAGATGCAGAAAGAAACAACACAACTGGGTCTACCTTAACCACAGAACCGATCGAAATCTAATAGCCAATATCCTCCCAAGGTTAAGCAACAGGTGAAGACCTTATTGACCTTTCTTTCCGTAACAGTGGAGATTCTGGTTGTTAGTGCGGTTGATGAACCCAGCGGACATCTTCAAACATGGTCATTATTGCCTCATGCTAGGGTTGGGACTGGACTCCGGGAGAGTCGGCGCTTTTGGGGTCGAGTAACAGGCCTTCAATGTGTTTCAGGATATGAATTCAATCGATAGCTGCAAGGTTAAGTATGCGACAGCATGAAATAATAAATTCTTACTACTACTTGAACATGATTAGGTCTCCTCAGCTTAGTGGCCTGCGTAAATTCTTAGAAAATGTTGTGTTCCAGAAGAAATCTTCAATGATGACCATGGTTACATATATACTAATAAACCAAAATGATCAGCTTAAAAGATTTAATACATTTTACGTTAGACAAGTGTCAATTTGACGAACTGTGTGTTATGATGAACCACAGCATCCTGGTAACATACAATGCTTCATGGAACTTGTTTTATATCAAAGGTCCCTTTGGTTGTGGAAGAAGTCGTGTTTCAAAATGCAGTGTCGTTATCGAGGTTCTATTTGAAACAACAACGTTGAACGCCCACGGTCTTATTTTTCATTACCAGTGCGTTACTGTTTAATCTATTAGAATATCAGTGGATGATCTTGCAAAGCATCTTTTACCGATATGAGCCGCTGATGGTGGTCTTCAGGTGTGAGAGTCGGAATCACTTTCTGAGCCGGTGTGCGGTGTTTGTACCGCCGCCGCGGATCAGACGTACTCTCCAGGATGTCGTGAGGGCGGGCCGTCTGATCTATCTTTTTTTTATTTTTTTATTTACTCCAGAATTCACCTCAAAACAAGGCTCGTGAGAGCCACTTACATGTTTTGGGTTACAGTGATGACTGCATGGTCAGATATTTGTTCACCCTTGATTTAAACCGTTGGAGGTTGTAATTAGCGGTGAAACATTCACGGGGAAGCTTGTTCCACAGTGAAGTGGTTCTGGGGAAGAAACTGTCAGCATGAAATTTTCTCTTGACTGATGGACTATTGAGGAAGAAAGGGTGATTTTCTGCTGTTGAGGTGGCTAAGCGTGTTCTTGCAGAGAATGTTCTGAGTGGGGGTACGAGGGAGTGAAGTTCAGCAGAGCATCTACTCTCCAAGCTGAGGTTTGGGTTTTGGGTTATTTTTGGTGTGTTTTTATGCTTTTTATTGGGGTTTCTGTTTTTGCACTGGGTTGGGTGAAAAAAATTCCAGTGTAAAAAAGAAGCCCCGATAAGAAAAGGCCTAACACCACGCCAAAACTAACCCAAAACCCAAACCTCTGCTTGGAGAGTAGATCAGACGGCCCGCCCTCACGACATGCCGGGCCCTGCGGACAGGTGCTGACGTCAATCGGGGACCGCCGAGGCAGTCGGACCGCGTGAAACGATGAGCCGTTTGTAGGCAAACATCCTCCTTCCACTGCGCGTTATGAGGTCGCCGACCCCGGCCGGACTCAGGGCGGCCATAATCTTTGGTGAAATTTTCAACAGGATAGTCCGGGGTCTCCTGGGTAAGATATTCCTGACTGAGGAAGGGCTGCTGAGAGATCCCATTCAAGCTAGCATGCTGCAAGTTTGCCCTTTGAGCCGGCCTGAGGTTTTGTGGGCACTGTACGAACAGAAAAGGACAGAGAAGGTAATAAAGGACACTTTGATAGCCTTCTTCAGATCTGCGTGTGGGAATTCCAGACAATTTTTTAAAAACACAACTTGAATGTCTGTGCTCCTACACTGACTACAGTACTAGTATTACTTAACAGACTGTCAAGGTTTACTATGGATTAAATCTCTTCTGTTTAACTCAAGTTGTCCTACCTCCGGTTGTGCTACCAAATATAAAATTCGCGATCTGTGATTTGCCACAGGTCTATCGAGGAAATACAGTCAAACCTGTCCATGGTGGCCACTCAAGTGCTTGGCAAATGTTACCTTTCTAGTGTTGTTGTTGTATTAAAAATGGTAATTTAAAACTCCTCTCTTTGTTTGAGTATCAACAATATTTATAAGATGTCCTGATTTTCTCAACGTCTTTCCAGGAAAAGGATTGTTGTTTGCCTCTGGATGCTCAATTAGTCTGACGGGACGCCCACTCCCAGGATCAGTCGTTCCCCGCTGCCTCAGTCAGCGGTCTTGTTTTCCTCATCAATTTTCTTCCATGTGAGCTGCTACGTTGTACAGACTGGCGTTACGCCAGGCGTTACGCCAACATCATTAAAGGCAAAAAACTACCTGCACCAGATCACATATGGCACACTGATGTCTTTGATTTGCTGTCGTTGAATAAACGACTTATTAACATCAAAGTAAATAACCATTGGTTACAGGCTAAAGACGTCATGGATGCAAGAACGTCCACCTATCTCCATCATTCTGAAGAGACCCGTTCAAGTTCTTGTGACCATGACGTTGTTCGTGGTCGGCCGAAATCGTTCAATCCTATCGCCACACGCAGGGCTCTTCCTGCATGGTTGTGCAGTTAATGTCTCAAAGACGGGCGATACAGATATAAACCCTTGGTCTATCAATATATAATTCTGGAGCAATGTTATCACTGCCCAGTAATCCAAGAGGAACTGGTGGGACTAGGTCTAGGAACACTCCTTTATTCGTGTGACAGAAGAATGATGACCACCACCCTTCACTATCTACACTTGCTGTGTACAAGATACTGCGCCTACTGATAGTGATACATTCCTTATTTGAAACTACTCTCTGAAACACACAGCGCCTTCCAGCGTTCACGTCGTGTTACAGTAGAGTGTTTTTAAAGGCCAAACTCTTTGAAGTACGACCTTTCCTGGCTACAGTAAATGTACCCGCAGGCGACATATCAAGGGTGCTCTGAACAACTAACATAGTTAAGTGTATCAAATCAGAGCCACCTATACATGTAGGATCTCCTGAAACGTGGCTTGAACTGATCAGCTTACCTCTTGAGTTACTTCTTGAGAACGCAGGCAATTTATGACTTTTAAAAAAAGGTTTATTTTTCTGCGTGGCAGGTTGATTAGGTAAGTCGGTATCTTTAAGATGCTATTACCTTCAATTTACCTATTACCTTTCGGCGTCGGTGGCGCAATGATTAGAGCGTTTGACTCAGAACCAATAGGTCCCGGGTTCAATATTCCCCATGCCCCGACGTGGCCTTGGGAAAGGCACTTTAAACGACTTCCCTCCCTGTACGATGGAGTGACGCCCATCGAGCCTCTTTGGTTAATCTGTCAAAATGTGTGGTAAAGAAAACCCTACGGGTTTGGTGCGCCAATGTTCCAATTTGTAGCCAGAACCATAATTTTTTTTTATTACCTTTACATCGCTGAAGAACTGTGCACACTGATGCGCCAAGACAACAAGACACCTGAGAGCTGTACGTTGTTGTTGTTTTGCAGGCCTGTCGGTGGACCATGTGCGTCAGTATCTCTATGACAACCCAGAGTTCCTAGACAGCTTCGTACCCGGTACCGTCCCCATGGAAACGCTGGACAGGTGGAGGCTGCAGCGCATGAAGAGGCAGTACCGGCAGCAGATGAACAATGGTTCGTACACCTGCCTCTTCCCAGCTCTGTGTTTTGTTTCGGGGGAGAGGGAGGGAGAGAGACAGAAGAAAAGAAAGAATTCGAAGGAGAAAGAACAGACAGAGAATGTGTGTGTGTGTGTGTGTGTGTGCGCGCGCGCGCGTGCGCGCGCGTGTGTGTGTGTGTGTGTGTGCGCGCGCGCGCGCGTGTGTGTGTGTGTGTGTGCGCGCGCGCGCTCGTGTGTGTGTGTGTGCGTGCGTGCGTGCGTGCGTGCGTGTGTGTGTGTGTGTGTGTGTGTTTGGAAGTGGGAATGAGGTGGGTATGTTGGTGTGCCGTGGTTTAGATTAATTGTCCAAAATATTTGAGGACTATTTCAAAGCTTACCGATAAAACACAAGGGCCCTTTTGGTTCCCGTAAACTACGATTCACTGAAATGCAAATAGGGACCCAGCAATATGGGGTCAGCGTTCGTTGTAATGACGCCCCTTCGTCGATATGAAAACCTCTTCAATTTATGTAAAAATAATCAACGACAGAAAATGGGGCTGCACATTGTCCTCATATACCACGAAATAAGTTGATATATCTTGAGTGTGCCGTCACCATGTCTAATCATGAAATGTTGGAAAATAAAAAAAAGAAGTTGAAAAACTCTCGCACGAAGTCGTAAAAGATCGTAAAACTCTCGGCGAATAACAGCCAACAGGTGCCGCTGGTTTCTTTATTAAGATTTAAAGACTCTGTGCAGAGATAAACCACAGTGACTTATGAGTCGTAGCTAATGTTGGACGCGATATGTTTCATTCATCGACAATCAGCGGTTCTCGGCATTAATCGCGTCAAGCGAGTCAAGGTGGAAAGGACAAGTACTGACGGATTACTGTGAAGAAGGAGGGTTGATTCTGGGGGTAATAATCCTCTGGCAGTCTGGGGAGTCTCTGGGAGTTGGCCTTTGTTATGCTGGGGTCACATTTCCAAACCCGGGCCCGGCCGGGCTGTTTCGATTAACGAAAAATCAACAATGTATATCAATGATATACACAAATAGCTATAGTTAGTAATTATTAGGTCTGACCCCCCCCCTCCATAAAATTGCCTCACTTCTCCTTTGGGGCTATTTCTGTCATGTGTGCACTTAAAACGGACTAGCCACAGGTGACCAACGTGATTTTGCTTAGTTCTGAAGAATCTGAATCTTCAATAAAACCGTCAACCCTCCCCATCCTGACTTTACAGTGTTTTCGCATAATGTATAATACATTTCTATTTACATTTATTATGTATGTCACTTCCAGACATGTCCGGCTCCAGGAGACCGAATGCCGGGCTGCTAAAGCGGACATCGTCACTAAAAATCGGGGTAAGACTTGTATTTCATAACTTGAAAACTTCTTACTTTGCCGACTTGGTTTTAATAGAAATTTGTTATGCTTTTAACCGTATTCCTAATGTTGAGAGCTCTTCGTTCTTCTACTGCATTCCATATTATCTTTGTAACTTAAAACAAATTTCATGTTGCAATTTCTCTGTACATGCTATTTGATTGAACTGAACTGAACTGCCGTACATGATAAGACTTCCGCCTTGTGGAGACTGAAAATATGACAACACTTTGTTAGATGGGCTATATGTGCCGGTAGTTGAAGGCTTAGCACACATCAACGGTATCTTTTGTGGCGGTAACGGTAGGGGGTTCAAAAGGATTGAACCTCTTTGAGTAACAGTCAGTTGTCGTGGTGTATTGCTCTGTATGGTGCCTTAGCTGGTTAGATTTTGGCTTCAGGCCATAATTTGACGCGCTAAATAATACTGTTTGGCCTCCTTAATAATAGTCTTCACTTTTATTGAGGTCACTGTATATCTTGAACCTGATTTGACAAGATTGAGTATGTCAAGAATTGATTAGACTCGTTCTAATGAGATTACAGCCCAATTCAGGACTATAACTCAACTAGTCGGCGGCTCTTACAAGAGAAGTCTGTGATGAACCATGTTTACACTTCCATGTCGCTTGCGACAGCTTGCTTTAAAGCAAGCCGAGATCAAACACCAGTGACGCATGTTTGGACCAATCAATACATGTATTTGGCCCACACGTACATTCTTACAATTACCAGCAGTTTGGAGCTGGTTTCATGGAAATATCACTCAGTAGGGAATTTTGAAATCGAGACTTGAAACCTTCCTGACATGTCGTCCTTCCGCTGCCAGCGCTACACGGGCCCGGACAAGCGGGAACACCTCCATGAGCTGACCGAGCAGATCGGGACCCATCCCAACCACCTGCTGCTGCTGTACGAGGTCACGCTCAGCATCAAAATAGGTGAGTCATGTTACATGTCCACAACAAAATGACAGCGTGCATGTACTGTCCAGGAAATGGTTTGTAGTTGTAAAAAAAAGTGTTGTTTTTTCTGTTGAGTGCCCTGGTTTTGCGGGTTAAATGACCGTAGGTGACCCCAAATAGAACGCGCGTTCGGTTCGAATTCCCCATATCGAACACGATCGAACACAGTTCGGGTTCTAGAAGAACACGATCGAACATGGGATCTGCATGGGACTTGCAACATTATGTAACCCAACACCAGTTACCATGGTGAGAGACGTCTGGTTCAGGTTATTGGCCTTTTGTGTTTGGAGAAGAAGAGGAAAAAACTGAGGAAAAACAATATGTTTTCCTTCGGTAACCATACAGTGTTGTACCTAGCTGTTATGCATCTTAAGTAACGTTACACAGGTCATGACGAGTCTTCTTTCCCACACATACAGCCACTAACGCTGATGGCTTCAACGCGTACGGAATAGACGACAACGGAGAGGTAGTTACCTAGTTTGTGCTTTTATATAAGGCCACAGCATGGAAATGTTATGGATGACACCCTCTGCATTCTCCAAATCTAATGCGATAGGGCGAGAAAAAAACAAGGCGGGCAAAATAAACAACAAGATTCCTACATTTTCAAATTTTGACCTGACATCATCAACCGTGATAAAAATTAATGCGCGCGTAGGTGTCATCCATAAAAATTACTTGCTGTGGCCTTATATTGAAACACTTGAATACGTCTTATCTAAGTGGGTGCCCTGTGCATTTTAGTGTTGCCTGAGACTATTTACTGTAAATCTGCTTCTCTGAAAGCCACCACGGATAAATCAAATCAAATCTTGACGAAGTTCGGTCTGTTTACCAAAGTGGTTAGATGTCCCTGCGGAAGAATTTCCATCTTGATATCCATGTTGTTGTTCTTTTCCAGGAGATTTTCCTGATCATTCCAGACGCGCTGGAGCCGGAGTGAGTCTCACACATTTTTCACCAGCATGTCAGCAGAACGTACTGCACCTGCGCGAAACCCATAGTGTGTCTTGCATAGCACTTCGGGAGATGTCGTCTGAAACAGGCAAAATTCTGATGCAACGTTGACCAAACATCCAACGAAAACGTGAAAAAACAGGGGTTCGCAAAGGCGCTGTACAATCTGTCGACGTGTTTTTTCACCGTCTGTTGTAATGAGACCGCTGACGTGTTGGTCACATGTCACTGGTACCTACCGTGGCCGACAAGAACAAAATTTTACACCGCAACTTTTGGTGTTTTACACCGCAACTTTTGGTGTTTTACACTGCAACTTTTGGTGTTTTACACTGCAACTTTTGGTGTTTTACACTGCAACTTTTGCTGTGTTTTACACTGCAACTTTTGCTGTGTTTTACACTGCAACTTTTGCTGTGTTTTACACTGCAACTTTTGGTGTTTTACACTGCAACTTTTGCTGTGTTTTATACTGCAACTTTTGCTGTGTGGAAAACTTACACCCCTCCCCTTTTATAATGGACGGTCCCCCTAGCTGTCAGGTCAAAGGTGACAAAGATGGCGGCGGCCTGAGAGATGTTACGCGCCGAAATGATGCATTTGAATGGTATATATAAAATGACATAGTTCAGTCACGGTGCACCAAAACAGGCCATGAAATGTATCCCCGTATTCCCAACAAGTCAGACCATCACACAGTGGACAGTTGATCATATCAAAAAAGGTCTGAAGATGAGATTTGGGGCGTCAAAGTTGACCGTCAAATGCATCAATTTGGCGAGGTTTCCGTGTTGTTTCACGCTCTGCATGGGGGTTTGGAGAAGACCGATTGTCACATCCACTTCCGGGTCATCTCAGATGTGCACACAAATTACATTCATTGTAACACACATCGACCGCTAGTTATCACTAATAAAGGTAATACACAGGAATAAGTACAGCGTTACTGGAATGTTGCCTATTTTTGTCTGGAAAAAAAGTTGTCGCTCGGTGTTAGTCTGTAACAATGTAACGCTAACGCAAACTTGTCTGAAAAAAAAAGTTGTCGCTCGGTGTTAGTCTGTAACAGTGTAACGCTAACGCAAACTTGTCTGAAAAAAAAAGTTGTCGCTCGGTGTTAGTCTGTAACAGTGTAACGCAAACTCGCGGCTTTACCGGGACGTCCTGACTACTTGTTCAGGGTCATGTATCATTCCAGTGACACGTTAAAAATCTGCCGTCTTTACTTGTACAGTCTTGTCAAGCAAATGTTTACATGTATGTAGACTTTCTGGCATTGTTCCATCTAAAAATATGTAGTCCAAAGTTGCATTTACCCCTTAACTGCAATTGTCGTGAGCGAAAACGAACTATCCTTTACACACGTACGTTTAGAAATTAATAACCAAACATGTAGGTTTATCGTCTTAGCTATATACAAATAAACGACGAGTAAAGACGGCAGATTTTTCACGTGTCACTGGAATGATATATAGCCCTGAACAAGAGAATTTCCACCTGTGTCGTAGAAATGACATACTAGTAGCCTGAACATGGCAGATATGTCACCTGACTCATTGGAATGATATAGCCCTCAACAGCAGAATATCCACCTGTGTCATTGAAATGACATAGCCTTAATATGGCACATATGTCACCTGAGTCATTGGAATGATATAGCCCTGAACAGTAGAATTATTTACCTGTGTCATTGAAATGAGATAGCTTTAAGACGGCTGATATTTCCCGGCCCGTGTCATCGGAATGACATAGCCTTATTTCGGCAGAAGTTTCATCTGTGTCATTGGAAAGACACAGCCTTCAGTTGTCAGATGTTTCACAGTGTCATTGGAATCACAAAGCCTTAAGTCAACTTTCACCTGTGTCATTGGAATGACACAGCCTTTTTATCGGTAGAAGATTCATCCGTGACATTGGAATGACACGGCCTTAAGTCGACAGATGTTTCACCTGTGTTATTGGAATGACACAGCCTTAAGTCAGCGGATGTTTCACCTGTGTTATTGGCCATCACACAGCCTTTAGTCATGAGAAATTTCCACCTGTGTCATTGGAATGACACAGCCTTTAGTCATGAGAAATTTCCACCTGTGTCATTGGAATGACACAGCCTTCAGTCGACAGATGTTTCACCTGTGTTATTGGAAACACACAGCCTTTAGTCATGAGAAATCTCACCTGTGTCATTGTAATGACGCAGCCTTATGTCGACAGATGTTTCACCGGTGTTATTGGAATTACAGAGCCTTTAGTCATGAGAAATTTCACCTGTGACATTCGAATGACACAGCCTTTTTTTCGGCAGATGTTTTATCTGTGTCATTGGAATGACACAGCCGTTATTTTCGGCAGAAGTTTCATCCGTGACATTGGAATGACACAGCCGTTATTTTCGGCAGAAGTTTCATCCGTGACATTGGAATGACACAGCCTTTTTTCGGCAGATGTTTTATCTGTGTCATTGGAATGACACAGCCTTCAGTCGACAGAAGTTTCACCCGTGTTATTGGAATCACAATATAGCCTTTAGTCATGAGAATATCACCTGTGTCATTGGAATGACACAGCGTTCAGGCGACAGATGTTTCACCTGCGTCATTGGAATGACACAGCCTTCAGTCGACCGTGATGTTTCACATCTGTCATTGGAATCACATCGACTTCAGTCGACACATGTTTCACCTTTTTTTCGGCAGACGTTTCACCCGTATCATTGGAATGATACAGCCTTCAGTCGACAGAAGTTTCACCTGTGTTATTGGAATGACACAGCCTTCAGTCGACAGACATTTCACCCGTGTTATTGGAATCACAATATAGCCTTTAGTCATGAGAAATATCACCTGTGTCATTGGAATGACACAGCGTTCAGGCGACAGATGTTTCACCTGTGTCATTGGAATGACACAGCGTTCAGTCAACAGATGTTTCACCTGCGTCATTGGAATGACACAGCCTTCAGTCGACCGTGATGTTTCACATCTGTCATTGGAATCACATCGACTTCAGTCGACAGATGTTTCACCTTTTTTTTCGGCAGACGTTTCACCCGTATCATTGGAATGATACAGCCTTCAGTCGACAGACATTTCACCCGTGTTATTGGAATCACAATATAGCCGAAAATTCCAATGACACATCCGTAATTTTCGGCAGAAGTTTCATCAGTGACATTGGAATGACACAGCCTTTTTTCGGCAAATGTTTTACCTGTGTCATTGGAATCACACAGCCTTTAGCCATGAGAAATTTCACCTGTGTGTCATGGAAGGACACAGCCCTCAGTCAACAGATGTTTCACCTGCGTCATTGGAATGACACAGCCTTCAGGGCGTATCTATACGGAACCACCCAAGGCGGTTTACATGTGGTTTACCCCGAAGCCGGTTTCAAGTGGCTCCATCTGAACGCTCCGAAATCACATTGAAAGCGCCTCGATCCCAAGCCACTTCTAAAGGTGGTTTCGAATCGCTTTCCCCGCATCGCGATTTGCGTCTGAACGCAATGTGATTTCAATGTGACTTCGCCTGGTCATGGAGTACGGAGTGATATTTCTTTTTTTTATGCAATACCAACTTTTACGTGGCAGCAACTTAAAGAGCAGTAACGGTCAAATAATTTGTCCGTTCTAGGGCGAGCTTCACCGCCTCTGGCGGGACCACGTCGGCATTCGGCCGAGATACGCTGGGAGGGGGCATCAGCAAGCAGGTCGTTGACCTCTGACATTAATAACACGCCGCCTTGCGTGTTATCATCAAACAGCAATAAATGTAGCTCAAGCGTATTGTGTTCGGACACGGTTTCACAGGTGTGTGTGGCACGTGGACCAGATGTGAGGAATGTGAGTTACCCGAATCGCGCCTTGGGTGGTTCCGTATAGACACGGCCTCAGTCGACCGTGATGTTTCACCTGTGTCATTGGAATCACATCGACTTCAGTCGACAGATGTTTCACCTTTTTTTTCGGCAGACGTTTCACCCGTATCATTGGAATGATACAGCCCTCAGTCAACAGATGTTTCACCTGTGTCATTGGAATCACATAGCCTTCAGTCGACAGATGTTTCACCTTTTTTTCGGCAGATGTCGACATAAGTTTCACCTGTGTCATTTGAATGACACATCATTTTTCGTCAGAAGTTTCCCCTGTGCCATGGAAATAACACGATCTTTTTTCGGCAGAGGTTTCACCTGTGTTATCGGAATGACACAGCCTTAAGTCGACAGAAGTTTTATCTGTGTCGTTTGACTGTCGTAGTGATCCTTATCTGTCAATATTATATACATTATAGCTCATGTTGCGCAGGCTATTTCCAAAGGTATGTGCGTAACCTGCATGGTTATGCAGGTTACGCACATATACACTATATAGGTCGAACTTATAGACTATATAGGTCGAACTCCTCCCGTTAGTGTTAGACTTACGGTTGGGGGTTAGGGTTAGTTTAGTTTTAGTGGCCAAGGAGGTTACATGAATGAACTCTATTACATTAACAATTGTACATGGTACAATGTATGGCAGCGTGAACAATACAATACAAACAAGTCTATGTATACTAAGAGACTACTTAACTACAGGAATATGAACGTAAACGGCGTATGACATGATGTGCGTTAGGCGTTGGTATCTGTTATAATACTTTCTCTCTATTATGCACTACATATCAGTACATATATATATTGGCCTTAAAGTACGTAGATATAGAGTCGGGGCATGACATAAGTAGATTGAAAATGTCTATGTTTGTCTTTGGGAGAGGTTTACCAGCTTTACTTGTGATCAATTTCATTAATTTTTGTCTATCTAAAGTATATGCAGGACAGGTCATTATGAAATGCAATTCGTTTTCAACGCCTTTATGACACGAGGGACACAGTCTCTAATTCGGGCTGGTGTGTTACAGTGGCGACCTTTTCCATTGTAAAGAGTGGACACTAATCCTAAGTTTTGTTATGCTGTTTCTGAATGATTTGTTTTAAATTGATAAAAGATAGTTCAAACAGAATTGGGTTTTAATTTTGCAGTAGGTATCGAGTTTGGTAAGACTTTTAATTTCTTGTCTCCAGCAAGAGAGAAACGTGTTTTGTAGACGATCTTTTAAGATATGTCCAAACTGGTTGGTATTAACGGAAGGATTTAACCATATATTTTGAAATCCGTGCCTACAAATCATGTCCTGAACATGGACAGCCCAGTCTTGTTGTAGTTCAACGGAACAGGTTATATAAGCTTTCATAACGATCCTGTCGTTCGGTTAACTACTTCGGTAGGCGAAGCCAATATTTTATTAACTTAATGTGTTTGTGAATCGAGGTATAATGGGAATACCCCAAGTTCACCCCTGACGGTGGCGTTAACGGAGCTTCTGGGCACGCCAAGTGCTATTTCACAATTTAAAAGTACGAACTCCAGATCGGGGATTTCATCCTGGATATTGTTGGTTGTTTGATTGTTATGTTCATGCAAGGACGTTACACACAACGTCCTTGGTCCATGTCTTTTGATATGCGTGATTGATATAAGATATTTAGTTTGTCACTGTATTTTTTTAATCGTACCACCCCATGTCTCAGGTATATAGGAAACTCCCAAGTAGTATCAGAGTCATGTATTTGACAGGATCATGTATTTGGTTTCACCCTGGTACACGTACGCGATACGTAAGGTTAGAGGTGTGACCCGGAAACAAATGGGAAACCGGGCGCCACGAAACCCCCATGCGGTTGGTATAATTGGCCAAAAAACATGGCGGAAACCTCGGAAAATCTGAGAAAGGCCTAACTTTGACGTTCTGAACGTTGTTTCTTGTTTAAGGCACAGTCAATTCGTGAACGCCTGGCGGTGGTCTGACTTGTTGGGAATACGGGGATACATTTCATGGCCTGTTTTGGTGCACCGTGACTGAACTATGTCATTTTATATATACCATTCAAATGCATCATTTCGGCGCGTAACAGAGAGTCACAGTGTCGTGCTGTGACTGAGTGTGAGACATCAACAGAATGGGATCTTAAGAAATTGATCAAGCTGTGAATAAATTGATGATTTATAATTCTGTCTGTTCTTCTTTGTGTTCTAACTTTACTATACTTACACAACACTGTATTGCCTCCATGATGACAGTTTATAAATTAGTGATTGACTAACTAACATTGATTAGATGTCTTATTAACTATAAATATTGTATACAATATTATTCTACATTTTGTATACGAGCGATCGCTGTTTTTGTTACATCATACGCATGCAAATTATTTGAAGACATATGCAAATTCTTGGTAGGCAAATCAGCCAACTGGCACCCACTTTTTGCCTACGGTGACGTCATGGCGATCGCTCGTATTGTTCCCTAATGATCGATAACTTACTAGTACCTGAGTCAAGAGTCAACACTTCATAATTGAAAATAAGTCTTTATTGCTTCATAGTACCAAGTGGTGCCACATTTGACTCCCATAGGCCCAATATTTACTCATCAAATTATTAGCGACCTTGCGAGTCCGAATTCTCTAGCTAGAAAATGTAACGTGACTCAAAGGCCTTTAGAAAAAAACTAACGTCACAACGTAGCCAAGCTTTTCCTCTAAAAAACTTATGCACGAAAAGGATAACTCAGTCGACGTAGTTTGCATGCCATCGTTGTCACCTTTGACCTGACAGGGGGACCGTCCATTATAAAAGGGAAGGGGTGTAAGTTTTCCACACAGCAAAAGTTGCAGTATAAAACACAGCAAAAGTTGCAGTGTAAAACACAGCAAAAGTTGCAGTGTAAAACACAGCAAAAGTTGCAGTGTAAAACACAGCAAAAGTTGCAGTGTAAAACACCCAAAGTTGCAGTGTAAAACACCAAAAGTTGCAGTGTAAAACACCAAAAGTTGCGGTGTAAAACACCAAAAGTTGCGGTGTAAAATTTTGTTCTTGTCGGCCACGGTAGGTACCTGTGACGTCATCCACACGTCACTGTCAGCCTTGCGTATTTTTGCATTTCAAGGTTGTGTTGACTTCGTTTGAGACACTGACAAGCTGGCGTTATGTTATGTAAGGGACGCGAATTGCTTGCGTTCTTCCCAAGTAGTAGCAAGTAACATGCTGTTTAGTCTAGTAAAGACCTGGGTTATATTTTGCAATTGCATTGGCTGTTTCATTGTTACATAAGAAATGACCATATATAATCATGAAATCAATCATTCCGGCATGACGCACTCTACTCAGGTAAACTTACATAACGTACAAAAATAGCTGATGATTGATACCTGCAGGCATGTGTGGACTGAGCATTCTTGATAACATTCGGTTGGCCAAAGAAAATGTTGTATCATAACGTACTTGATAGTCAGGATCATTACAGATACGTCAGCTATTGACACTTCCACAGAACTGGAGGCCCATGTTTTTGTAAGCGTAACCTGTAACGTTAGATACTTGAGAGCACTAAAAGCTGTGTTCCTTCCATTTACCTAGTCATAACTTTTGTGCATGGTGAACTTCGATCACGGCAACCTATCCTACAACCAAGGCGAAATATATAGCTGAACGCTAATTAGATGAAAATGTCCTGTACTAAGTTAGAGCGACCTGCACTAGGGGGCACAGAAGAGTAGTCCGACTCTCTGTCATCCTTCAAAAAGACGAATAAATTCAAAACCAGCTGCAGTCGAGTACCTAGACTCTTCGCTGTCATGTTCCCAACGCTACGAATGATTCAATTCAAAGTGACGTTACAATCTACATGTCTGTTTACCGGTATTTTCCCCGCCCCGCACAGAGAGAGTGATGAGGAGGTGTCTGCGCCCTCCTGGCCCGTGTGTGAGGGGACAACTGTCGCCGCCTTCGTCGCCGCCACGTCTCAGCCGGTCAAGACAACACATGTCCTCGGGGTAAGGCTTTCCATACCGTACAGGAACTGCCGAGATAGTTCTTGGATGAACATCCGAAGATTTCGCTAAAAAAAGTAACAGGGTATGGTTTTGGAATCCAAAATCACATCAATCATTACAGATTCCAAAATCAAATCATTTGGATTCCAAAATCATATCCAGTTGCTTGAGTAACTGTTTTTTGGCGTATCTGAGTACCTTCACCGACGCATGCAAATATCTCCCATTAGATTCTAAAATAAAACTATTGCACCAAATGGTACCATGTTTGGCAGTTCTGACACAGCATATAACGAAAATAAGTTCTACCTTCTTTCATACATTGATAGATTTGTTATCGGGTGTGTAGGTAGTGAATATGCGCCGTGAAACGGGCTTTCTTCAAAACGTTCCATGGCGTCTTCCCGCCAAGAACACACATACCAGGACGACCCAACCCGTACGTAACGACCCTTCATTGTCGGTCCCGCTGCACAGTGATCAGAGATGCTGCGTTGTGCGTGGTACCTGCTATGTTGTACAGTACATGCACCACGAGACCATTAAAACTAATGGGGCTCTGCTTCTATTGGGTCGATATTTCCTCTTGAAGCAAGAACGTGACCCGTGAATGTTAAAAGCTCGAGTTTAGACTGTATTTCTGTTTAAAACTGTCAAACAAGACCGGACTGCCTTTCAAATTTGTCCTCCCTCACTTCGGTGATTAGTTAGAAAAGCAATAGAAGGTTTCCCTTGGTATCAAGCAACCACCTGTTGGACGTGCGAACGGCTGTCTTTAAGAACAAATACATTGAGTGATGTTTTGAGGATGTAGACTGACTCTGCGGGCTTGCACCACAGCACGACCAGTACCCAGAAGGCCTCGGGGCGAACTGTGCTGCAGCCAGCTCCATCCTGTGTCTGCCCATCCTGAGGTCTAACGGAACCCTGGCCGGTAAGGAGCTGGGACTGTGCTTTGTTGTGGATTTACTTTTAAGGGTGAATCATGGCTGAAAATTGTACAAGGAATAAAGAAGAGAAGACGGGACAAAGCGTCAAAAGATAAAATGAACTTCGAGAGCGAAAAAGTCAAATTAAGTTATTCTTCGTAAACCAATTCGCCATGCTCGCCGAAACCATAAGTGAGCTACATGTAGTTCCGTTTAGAAATTTCATTTGTGATTAATTTGTGTTGCCTTTGCTTGTTCCTACAGGCATTGCCGAGCTGTACAGGACCATCGGAAGCCATGTTTTCAGTGACGAAGAAGAAGAAGTAAGTCAAACATTCCAACCATGTCACTTACTCATCAGATGGCTTTGATCTGTAGATTGGCGGATGGGTATTTACTCCCGCCATGAATGTTAATTTACGCATGTGCGGTGTGTAATCTTCAGCACGATGAAGGAGTTACCGTCCGCTTAAGTGCCTGAAAGATTGCCGCCCGTGATGACGTGAATGTTCATTAACCTCCGTAATGGGGCAATTTCGCAGCGTCCACGCCAACCTTTCCGCAGGCCGTGTCCTGAGCTGTTATTTCAAGATGAAAGGAGTCGGCAATCAACGCTCAACACTTTTACAACATTGATCGTGACATGTGTTAGAAACACTACACGTCCTAGCGGACATTAACTCGGACGATTTGCGCACAAACGCACACGACTAGACATTGACATGTAGACGTAAAGAGAAAACGTTTCACAACAGTGACAATTTGTATATTCCTGATTATAAATGGCAACTTCATAAGCTTGTAATGGTTGCATAATATGTGTTTCCTGACTGCTAACTATGTCAGGCCAACCGAGTGCAGTCTTTTGCCTGGGTCCTACAAAACGAGAGTGGGGTCGTGTGGCGTAACTGCTGAGTGCTCGACTCAGAACCAAGAGGTTACGGGTTCGTGGCCTGACATGCAACCGATCTTGTGCCATTGGGAAAGGCACTTTACACGACTTTCCTCACTTAACACAAGTGAAAATGAATATTGTCCTGTCCTGTATTTGTGTAAGTGGCGGCATAAGATAAGTTGAACAAACTTGAGTGTGGCGTCACCATGTGTTATCATGAATTGTTGGAATAAACAAAAACGAGAGTGGCGCGTAACAATAGTGTGACGACAGTGTGACACGATGTCACACAAGCTTTTCTCAGACAAATATGGTATGAAGTATGATGAATGAACCTTTCACCTTGTCCGCCCTCAGACGGCCAACACCATCCTGCTGTGGGGAGGGCTAGCTCTGCATAACGCGGAGATGGTCGACATGATGATGAAACAGAAGCAGCTGAATGATTTCCTGTTGTCAGTCACAAGGTGAGACATCATAGTGTTATATATGCTTGATGCTGCTATTATGATGACTGCACTAGACCACGGCTTGGGCCAGACTGATCCCAGGGACACGAGGTCCCTGTCCTTTGTTGATACCAGATGTGACACTCGCCCCCCTTCACAAAAGGTGTCGTCCTCGACACCATATATACATATACCCCCTTCAATAGTACGTATACGTTAGGACTACATGTACCTAAATAACACTTACTACTTTTCAAAAGTATGCAGTAACAATGTTTCTGGTTATTTTCTTTCTCCTATAATTTGATAGAATAATATTTCAGCACCAAGGACAGGCCAGGGTTTTGTAATGCGATGAATTCTTTTTATTTAATTTAAGTTCTGCAATTCTCTTTTTATACTAACCTTCATCACGTTTGTAACAAAACCAAATCAGCGTTGTCTAATCTTACACATTGGTTACAAAATCGTTCTCTCTGTAGGTCCATCTTCCAAGATATCGTCAGTATGGACACCGTCATCATGAAGATTATGGTAAGTCTCTAGTTAAGTCTTTGAGTGCTGCTCGGTTAAGACTGCGGTCCAGTTAACGGATCCATACAATTGAACATCATTTATGCAGTGTAATTGGAATTACGGCGACTGTGTGATCTACCAGAGCTGTTATATAACGATGTGGGACGAACCACTTCTGGTTATCGAATGAAGCTGAAATTGCACATGAATGACATATATGTTACAGTGCAGATATACTTTGTTTTAACATAGCAAGAAAGACTAAGCTCCTTCCCGTCCCTCGTTACATGAGGTGATGCGTTCTCTCACACGTGGGGTTGTGTGGAGTAACGGTAGAGTGTTCGGCTCAGACCCAAGAGGTCCCGGGTTCGAATCCTGCCCGATGCCACCGATCTTGTGCCCTTGGGAAATGCACTTTACACGACTTTCCTCACTTCACTCACTGGAAATGATTACCTAACTTCAGTTAATGTTGGGACGTCTTTCGGATAGGACGTTAAGTGGGGGTTCCGTGTTCGGGAGAGCCACACCCCACGCACGTTAAAGAACCCACCGCACTTATCGAAAGGGGACATTCCCGGTGTGATTGGTTCAAACCTTACAGTCCTATGACCCAATACCCAATACAATACAAGTACACCTAAATCCACCGTGTCTGTTTCGTCCTTCTAGAACCACGCCCAGAAGTTGGTGACTGCTGATCGCGCCTCGCTGTTCCTTGTTGACAGCAAAACCAACGAGTTGTACGCCCGGATCTTTGACGTTGGGAGTAACGTGAGTCTGGACGAACCCGAGGGAGAAAAGATAGAAAGGAAGGAGATAAGGTAAGACGTTTGTTTATCTGGACGTCTCTTTCTAAGGCCCCATCCCCACTAGGATAAAATTGTCCAGGTCGACCCGAATTGATTCGTTTTGATCCGGCTTCGATCCTGCTTCTAGCCGGATCAAACTGAATCCGAGCCGGATCGAACTGAATCCGAGCCGGATCGAAGCCATATCAAAGCGAATCAATTCGGCTCGATGGGGACAATTTTATCAGAGTGGAAATGGGGCCTTTGTCATCTTTCACATCGCAGAGGACACCTTGTAACCCTACACGTGTGTCTGATGCTTTCAAAATGGAGAAAAAAGCAAGGTCAAGGGTTTCAATCCCAGAATGCAATCTATTGATGATACACTGTGGTAGGTTAAAGGACATACACATGTACATGTATCTTTTTTTTTTCTCTTTTGAAAACGGCTACTCAACATGGTTCCAAAGTAGAATTAATTGAACTAAATTAGCCCTCATTATTTTGCTCCTAGAGCCCACAGAATGTCAAAATCGATAAGCAATTACAACTTTACCACCGGCTGCGTCCGACAGAAGTCGTTTGCAAGAACAGTAACTAATTCCTTCCTTACAGTTAATTAGACTAGTACGGTAGATACCGGAGAAGACCGATGTTGACAGCCATGGCATTATCCATTTTGGCGGAAGCGTGAATACGTGCGAGCTAGCCTGAGCACCAGAAATAGCTTCTCAGGGACACTCCACTTTCTATCACCGAGGAGCGTAATGTTGTTATGAAACCCTATTTTTGTATTCCTCATTCGCGAGTACTTCAAAGGCTGCTAAAATGGCTGGGCCAAACACTCCAACCTAAATGTAGAAACAGAAAAAAAATCATGATACATTCGATTACTCTGGCTTTCGCTCTGCGTCCCACGTATCAAATATTGGGTACATGAATTTCCTTCTTTTTCATTTTTCCTAACATATTTCACGTGCATCTATTGAATCTGTCACTTGTCATTCATACCTATGTCTATTATTCTATCCTCCGTTGTTGTTGTTTTTTTTCCTATACATGAAAAAACGGGACTACAACTGTAGGAAACTTCAGTAGTTGTAGTTATAGAAAGAAACGCAGAGTTGATAAACATTTTGCACGCCTGCACATTTTCAGTAGGAGGACGTCCTACAGTGTGGAGGAGTTGGGACAAGCTTTAACACACGTGAACAGGAATGACATCAGGTAACACACCGACATGGCGACCAGTCGGCAGGTCCAGCACGCCTAACAAATCTTTGTGCCAGTTTTGCCGAGTAGTTTGTAGTTTCCTCACGCTTGTGCTAGCAGAGAACCCTTTAGAGACCCTTGTTTTGTATTGTCGGTGTCCTAGATGACATGTCATTGTCATTTCGGTAAAATGTATATTTGTCCCCGTAGGCAGAAGGTTCTAGGAAGTGGGGAGTGAAGGGTCAAACGCACATTTTTACTTTGCGGATAAAACCCCCGTCAAACGTTTTATGATGTGTTTCTGTTCGCTTCCTGTGTAGGTTTCCGATGGACAGAGGAATAGGCGGCCATGTAGCCACGACCGGAGAGACTCTCAACATCAAAGACGCGTATCAGGACGGCCGCTTTAACAGGTACGACTGGGCCCTTACCTTACCATTCTTGATTTCACCCGATTGTAAAATATTAGTATTACTGCCAACACACGTTTGTCTTAACCATGTTCTAGTTTGGCACTGCATAAAAGCTGTAATACTTGTCTTATCCGCAAGGAGGCACTGCAAACCTTTTCTTACATATTTTTCAGGGACGTGGACTTACAGACTGGCTATCACACAAAGACCATTCTGTGTATGCCTATCTACAACAGGGGAAGGTAAGGCAAGAGTCCATAAGTAATATCCATCCCATTTCTTTAATTATTATCTATGAAAGAGTGAGTTCTGAAGTAGCCGTCATGTGACATTTCCGGGTCGTTCACCACATCATGGTATGGCATTATTTCATTTCATTATTTTATCAAGTGACTGTTCCTGCGAGCTGCTAGTAAGCCTGAAGTTCGGCAAGAGTTTACTGGGAGGCGCTGTTTCCACGTCTGTACGGAAACTGTGTTCACACAGATTCAAACTGCAGTTCTCCAAAAGTTCCACGGCGGCGCTTTAGCCATGCACGTCCCTAGTGCTGAAAACGTGGTGGTTAGTGTCATGTACACTTACTACACTTACATTTTGCTGCAATCTGTTGTCATCAAAAAGTCTTGTGAAGGCCTCATTGTGAGGGGAGACTGAGAGGAGCTGGATATATGAAAACTTCAACACTTATGACGCACTGATGAATACCACAGTTCGACCAGCTGAAACGGGGCGAAGTTTTGAGAGAAAAAAACTATTCGGGCTGTCGATCGAAATGAGAAGTGAAATTGTGAGGTATTTTTTGTTATGTCATTCTGTATCGTATGTGATACCGTAATATTGTAATGTTTGTTCATCGTCCTTTGTATACCCAACACTGCCTGAAAAACAGGTTGTTATGTACCCTTCCGAAAATAGTTTTATCATGTTGGTAAAGTATAGGATATAGGAGTTTTCTTTCTTTTACACAACCAAGATAGTTACCTTGCTGACGTTTCGGTGTCTACTGAGTGTTACTGCTGGTGAAATAAATAAACTGGAAACTAAACTGAAGCAGCCTTCAGCTGCAGCATGTAGCGCACATCAAAGCGGGTCAGACAGGCCGTCACCATCCATCTCTGCCCACCAGCCATTAGAAGTAACCCGACACGACGCAACTTCGCGCGGGGGATGAAAAAGGCAATTCCAATCAAGGAACGGCCCTCCTCGCACGGAATTCCCTCAATGCCTATCAAGCATTAATAACTCCATACAGACAGGCTTTTTGGCGCTTTGAGCTATTGGGTCTTTTCTTAAGTGCTCTAAACTTTAAAACTTGTGAGCTGTTCTCTCTGAGATCTCCACGGAATATTACCTTGTCGTGTGTTGAGCCGTCTGAGAGAATCTCTCTTTTTGAGTAAAGCTTCTTAAGCAAGTGACATTTTTCTTACCTTTGCAAACATAAAGACAGAAAGTGTCTACTTATCCCGTATTTGTTCCCTGATAATCATGTTTAAAGCCATAGGAAAGCCATGTAGATAAGTGCCCAGTTATGAAAGATATCATCTGCAACATGTGATAGTGTGGTGTTACTGTGATGTGGGTTTTGGAGGGGCGTCTCAATTACTTTCATAGTGTCAATTTTCTTATTAATAGACCACAAATAGAGATCCAGTCATCGCTGTTTAATGCAATACAAAACACAATACAAACGCTGACCAACAAACGTCTGAGATGAAATGATGAGATGTCTGAGATGAAAGATCGTGATCGTAGAATTCAGCATCCCCTTTCGATATCTTCCTTCTTGAGATTAGTTGAATGGGACCCAACTATTCTAACGTTATTTTATAGCTGTCTACAAGTATTTGGCATTCATAGAAATAAAAAAAAAAGATTCCACACAAAACAACTTCTGCTATGAAGGATTTCCATCACCATCATCACATCTGAATTTGTCACTCGTAGAGGTTTACTATACTTTCATATCCAACCAGTGTTCAAAAATTCATTCTTTCCTAGAACTATTGCAGAGTGGAACTCGCTGTCACCAAGTACAGTAGGGGCATTATAATTAGATAGCTTTAAACAAGGTTTAGAGTTGTTCAAGGGTTAAGTGTAACAAATCGTTCGGTGTAACGTAGCAAGCTGCCGCCGCGCCGCGTGCCTGCGAAGCTGGTGTGTTAGGCCGAAGGGCGGTTACACCGGCTATTCAGATACAGATACAGTTGTGCCTATCGTAACGTTAAGGTACATTCCGAAGAGACCACAGCAATGCCTAACTACACAAGTCTGTGTCCTGGTCACAATTCATCACGTCTCCACAAAAATGCAGGGTAATTAAGCCTCCACCCTGAATCATCGCCCGTCCACATCCATTGTCGGTAACCCGATAGTTTAAGAGTTTTGGCGTTCCACGGGACGTCAGGGTTGGTACGTGTCACGGAATTCCCTCGTCACAAATCACCGGCGACTCAACAAGGGAGCGGCGTCTCGAGGGAGGCACCGAGAAACTTTTCTGTCGCGGAACAAGTTTTGTCCGCATCAGTTTGGGAGCCTCCAGTTGTCATAAACTTGGAAATGTGCCAAGGTAGATGGAGTTCTTGTAGCTATCTACATATTCTAACACATGAAAACGTCTTACAGCAAAATGTCCATCATCACAGCATTTTTTCTGTCGCGGAACAAGTTATGTCCGTATCATCTTGGGAGTCTCCAGTTGTCATAAACTTGAAAATGTGCCAACATTGCCAAGGTAGATGGAGATCTTTTACTGGTTGATAGCAACCTACATATTCTAACACATCAAATACAGCATTTGATGAACAGCTACAGGAATGGGCCCACCTGTTCGGACTCAGACCTCAGGACTCAGACGTTACTGGCTGGAGAGCTGCAGTGACAAGCTATGATGATGATGATGATCAAAACGTCTCGCAACAAAATGTTCATCTTCACACATAAGCAAACCTTTGCACAAAAGTTTGTTTTCTTTCCCATTGACATTGACAATCCTTGGCCTTCCTACTTCATACCTAGCGACAACAGTACTTTGCCTAGTCGCGTAACTTTATCTTTATCGTCCCTGCACCTAACCTGGTTTTCTGTAGATACAGTTAAAAGAAGAATGAGTAATGAGTACCCAGGCAGTTTCGTGATTTTTGTCCTGACGCCTGATATGTTCCCATCCCCTCACCACCCCAGAGGAGCCGCCGTGTCAGACTAATTTGTTCCCCCGCTCGTGAAGACCCTTCGGGGACAAGCAGCGCCGTAACAGGATCCCGTGTTTTACTTAATCATCAATTAGGGCCGTCGTTAATTTTTAATCATAGAGAAGCGAGCGAGGCGATGCACGCCACACGGACAAACTGACGTTCCCACGGTGGCCCTTCGTACTGCCGGGCGGCGCAGCTCTGGGGAGATGTCAGCTATAAAATTATAATAAATCCGTCACGACGACAAAAATATCCCACCAGGACAGGACTATACTCTTCCTATCAGTGTCCTGTTGTGACAAACATGTATGATTTATCAAGTGCACTGCTGATCGGGAAACGTCATAATCGTGCCATTTGCGTGGAAACGACAGAAAAAAAACAGTAATCTTACGTTTTACTGTTACTATCGTGACAAGGCTTAAAATAACATATAACCATTTCACCTGTAAAATTGTCACCAATCTGCAATACACCTGTATCAAATACTATTATAAATGAGGGACCGCAACAGGGCCCGAGTTTTGTTTTTAATCGGGCCCCACCTTTAGAGACGCACCAGACCAACCATTGGCTTATCTCGTACGTACGTATGCATCAGTTGACAATACAGCACAATTATGATTTGAGGACTAAAAACTGATTTGCTTTGTTTATACGTAACGTCTAGCTTTCCAATCCGTCCGATCCACAAATAAAGGCTCACCATATATCCATCTTCATTCTTTGACACGGTGCTATCTACGATCCATCGCAAGTTCTTTCCTCAAAGTCACATCTATCAGAAAATCAATTCATGACCCTGTTACAGTACGGCGGGATCGTTCCTCTATTGTTGTTCAATCAAACTCGCGCAGATTTCGCCAAGCGTTGTTGACGTGTAGTTTAATAGGCTCCGTTCTTGCCAGGGCTATCAATCACACAGTTGCCACCGACGAACAATGAAGTACATTAGCCTAAACCACCGACAAGTCCGGCGCCACCTCACTCCATTGTCATCCAATTATGCGCCGGTAATTGTTGTAAAATGTCTTCATAAAATGCAGACGAGGAACCCAGCCCTTAAATCCTCTCCGTACTCTCCCCCCATTTATCCATATTGTTTGAGAGCGCGCGCCCATTAATCTCCCAGCCGATGTATTGTTGTCCGATTCTGTCTGCATTATGTGCGAGTTGTTCGCCATTGTGCGGCGCACCTTGCAGCGCTGCTCGCCACACCCTCCCATCTGGTAGCTGGCGGGCGGCTAATGGTCCCGCCATTGTTCCGGGCAGAGAATAATCACTCCGCAAATAGAACGTAGCAGCTTTAAATATACACACCCGCACGAAAAGCACAACAGAAAGAGCCTTGAAAGATTCGCAAAACGTAAAAGTCAAAAGTCGTCTATTTACTCAACAACGTGAATACTGATTGATACCCCAATGACACCCTGGAGCTTATTATTATTATCATTTTTACTGTTTATTATTTCATCGTGTTCTTGCAATTAGCCCTTGGGTATGGATTTCCAAGAAACTTTCACATTATTTTCTGTTTAACAAGTTCACCACGGAAGAACTAGAGACGTTACCTCATTTCTCCGTTAAAACTATCAGCGCTACATTGTATGTCTGTCTTGTTCAAAATATAGTTCTTTGATCTGGTGGGAGTATAAAGCATTCTGAAGGGAAAACGTTGTAGACGATCTTAATCTACACACAATGAAAGTTTTTGCATACCTAGTATCTACAGTATCAAACAATCCAGTTTTACATGTTCTAACTCCCCCTTCCCCTGCAGTATCATCGGAGTGGTTCAGATGGTGAACAAACTGGCCGGACCCTTCTCTACAGCCGGTAAGTGAGAATATCAGAGTACAGTGCACCTGCGATAGTCTTCCGTTTGAAACACTGTCAATATGATTAGTGATATTTGTGTTTCTATGATTATAGCCAAAAGTAGATTCTGAGTAAAGCAACAATGACACATTCTTCCCACAGTATCATTCCAAACACGGTGCAAACTGTTTTGTGAAAGTGTGAAGAAGCTTTAGAACATCGCGTCTACAGCCGTCGCTCATGCTGAGGTCACATTTCCAATACCAAAACGGGGTCCGGTCGGGCTGTTTCGATTAACGATCAACAATCAACAAAATCAACAATTTAGATCAATAATTTACGAAAATAGTTCCCACTATTTTTTTGTGGTTTCTTGTCTTTTATATCATACTTTTCGTTCCATAAGACTGCCCGGCCGGGCCCCGGTTTGGATGACCTCAGCATTATCAGGTAGCTGTAGCTGTGTAACACAACAGTAGATACTTGACCTGGTCAGACGGGGTCATCTGAGGTTAATCTGAGGTTAAACCGATACAGTAGACAGAGATTGTAACAAATATACCTTATAATCTAATCATAAACACAGCAACGCTATCCATCAACCTCAATCGTTGTGTTTGCTAAACAAAATTAATGGATAAAATATACCACATATAGTCATACTTCATATACATGTAACTGCATACAGGTGTGTTTTTTCAGTAATTCAAAATATTTTAGATCTTCTTTACGACAATGGCGTAGTGATTAATTTTCGTATGATATTAAGTGTTCATAATCGATATAAATTAATAATATAAATTACTAGTATTGATTACGTGCTGTTTTGTAGCCAAACTGGATTTTGATAGTTACGTTTCTAAGCTTTCACTTCTATAACGCAACCAACATGGCTTCTATAAAATGTCCAGACTATGCATGATGTACAAAATGACTAATAAACTGGTGGACGTACCAACTACTAAGTACCTAATACCAGCTCAGAAAAGAACAAGAAATAGTCATGCCTTCAAGTACCACAGTTAAGTTATCAACTAAGGATTGAGGTGTTCAAAAACGCATTCTTTCTTAGAACTATCGCAGAGTGGAACTCGCTGTCACCAAGTACAGTAGGGGTATTATCATTAAATAGCTTTAAACAACGTTTAGAGTTAGATGTTCAAAGGGTTAGGTGTAACAAGTCGTTCGGTGCAATGTAGCCAGCTGCCGCCGCGCCGCGTGCCTGCGAAGCTGGTGTGGTTACACCGAAGGGCGGTTATACCGGCTATACCGATACAGATCCAGAATTCTTGTTAACAACGAAGCGAGCCTCTCGCTCCACACCCCTGTAGTGTTCCTGTGTGACAATGTGTAGCCCGCGTCAGCCCGTGATGAAATATTTATCCGCCCATCATCGCCCATTAACCCGGCACTGCCTAATGGGGTCGTCAATCTTCGGGCCGTGTTCATATCGTGTTCCATTTGTTCTGCCGACGTCACGTCAGATGTAACACCGACTGTTCTCGGCAGTAAGGACCCTATTTATAATAGAAAACACCACCATCATCCCATGCTATCATTCACAGTCAAGGTGACACACGGTTAGTCTCCACCAGACTCCTTTGCAGGCTAAATAAACAGTAGAAATCGGGGTTTTGATTGGCCAGAGAAGTTGGCCAGCCAGAGAGGGTCCAATTTGCCTGCACTCTCTGTTGCAATGTGTTGTTAGGAGACAACCCCCCATGGCCGGCCAACTTTTCTGGCCTATTAAAAACCACTTTTTAGGCCGATTTCTACTATTTATTCAGCCTGCAAAGGAGTCTGGTGGGGACTAACACACACACAGGCTGGATTTCCTGTTGGAACATCTTCTTTCAGAATTCCTCGAGCTCGATACCATAAGTAAGACTTGCATATTTGCATCTAGTTGCGACACTAAGTAACATAATGGTCATTATTTTTCCTTTGTATACGTTTACCGACTGGGAGCAGTTATTCCACTATACATCCCTGGGCCATAATGCTGATTAGAACAGCTTTTATCCACACGAGACCACCGAGGGGCCAACCAATGTCAAATTATTGTGTTTTTGTAGCAGACTATAGAGAACGTGCCCTTTGCTCTGCTGATGGACCCGTATGTACTACATTCTAAAACATGCCGTTCAGTTATAAAGGGACTGTTGCTGTTAAGCACCCAGTGGTGATTTGGCGCCATTCATCCCAATTTTATGTAGGCAAGACAAGATACAAAGGGTAAACGCATTTCTATGGGTCCGGCATGTGTAGTTGAATACCAGCTGCAGTTTTAATGGTCATTTTTATTCAATTTCTACCAGGGGAGATTCACGGAGTTTGCTAAAACTAGATAGAAGCATCTTTTTTTCAAAGACACTGCTCTTCGTCCTCGGAAAAGTTGGTCAGTCGAAGTCACGTCACAGTCGATTCCACGGAGTAATGTATGTGGGTATGAAACAGACACAATCGAAAATGCACACACACACACACACACACGCACACACACGCACGCACGCACGCACGCATATATATATACACACACAGAGAGACAGACACACACACACACACGCACGCACGCACGCACGCACGCATATATATATACACACACAGAGAGACAGACACACACACACACACACACACACACACTGACGAACACATACACATGTAAAGTGTACTTTTACTCTCTCATGGTGACGTTTTTGCTAATATGCTACACATCATTTGTGTTCAGAACAAAAGTTGTTGTGATTTTTTTTGTATCGCCCAAGGAACAATACCTCTGCTCTGCTTCACTGAGACTTCCTTGCTCAGACTTACGATGAATACGCCGCCGGGTACAATAAACTTCCAGAAGCATAGGGGCACGAGGAGGGACACTTACAAAATGGGCAATACATCATGTACACACGGAACATTGCCGGGACAATAGGAAAAGCTTTTACCGAGCGCACACGGGCTCTCCCGCTGAATGCGGCAACATTTCCCCGTACCGGCGCAGGTCGGCAGGTGTTCGCAGGCTCGCCGAGGAGTCATTAATCTACGGTTTGATTGTGGCGCAACAATAGCGCCATTAGGCGCGGTGATAACATATGTTTCCGCGCGGCTCACACGTGGCATTGTCGCTCCCCCAGGGCCGCCGGGAAGCTGAGGGGCATTTATACTGTGACTAGACTTGACAGAGTAATTTGTCAACATAAAGTGGGATTTCTTACCAAACAATAGCCGCCATTTACATTACAGGCATAACGAAACAGAGAGCTTTTGGCTAGAAGTTACGACTTTAAAGCGTTTATGTACCTAGAAAGAATGGGGATGAGTAAGAATATGTCCTTTTAAAGTCGTAATTCTTTTAAAGTCGATAGTTTTTCTTCCACCACTTCCAACTCTCAATAACTTCTTCCCATCTTTACCCCTGTCTTGCATAAAATCCTCCCTACTTTATCTCGGCCTCAAAGTAGTTTCAAAATGAAAAAATAATGAAGCTTCTGTGTTATTTCAGTAAATATAAGCTTGAGTTGATTTATATTAATTTCTAAGACAACCAGACAAATGCTTTAATTCGGAATGCATGCAACCAAACACTTCTTTGATCTCAGTGGGCCTTTTGGCCTCATCGTTGCTGGCATTTTGTCTGTCTAAAGAAAGATAGCTAGCTTAATCAACCAACATTACATATGGGACAGGCTTATATACTACTCTCAACTTCTGTAGCCACACTTCCTGGATGAAGTTCTTGTCTATTCTACAGTTCAGCAAATGACCACTCTGTACTCGTATGCAGAATAACGAGAGTGGCTATTTCATTGTGTTGTCCTCAGATGAGGAGGCGTTTGAGAAGTTTGCTGTTTACTGTGGGCTTGCTCTGCATCATGCAAAGGTATGTTTATCTCTATGTATACACATAGTACCATCACAACGTAACAAGGCACTTTGAAATTGCCTCGCTCGCAAATTAGATTTAAAATCATTATTTAAACAGTAGCCATGTATTTTACGAGTTGATCATCCTTCATCATCCTTATGGGGGCACACCCCAGTTTATTTTGGGTCTTAATTCGATTCTGCATACCCTCAACTCTAGCGACCGTCTCTTTCAGGAAATACCTCTTGAGCCAAAACACTGTGTTTGCAAATGAAGGATATCGCTCTAGCTACGAGAACAATAGAATTTCAATTTCTTTCATCTCTCACTTTTTTGTAAATTTTAGGGGGAAAAGAATTTTTCGATGAAAAATGATGCCAAAAATTGGCCATTTTCACGTGGAATTAGACCCATCACCCAGATTTTAGCCACTAATATGACTTATATGGTCGGAAAGAGAAAACCCTTATGTATTATTAAGAAAAGTATAAAGAAAATCCTAACACTGAGATTATCACAATAGCCCGTCGCGCGAGGCATAGCCACAGCACCCCCAGAACGCATACAACGCATATGTAGGTCAAACCGAAGCACCGCGCTGAAGGCGGAAGGACACCCGGAAGTAAGCCTCGGGCCCGAAAACAATTTTCACCCAAAACACGCCACTTCTTACACTTTCCAGCCATGTTAGTAGTTAATACCATTTTGCAGCAGATTATGAGAAATGTAAACTCAAACATGAACCACCGGAACCCCTTCGTCACTTTTTTTCCGCGCACTACACTGTCGCGGAAGAACTGGTGTGTGCACCGTTATAGTGTGAAAATAGATAAATACATTAGTGTAAATGGTAGTTAAATTAGTGTAGTGACATGTTTATAAACATTGTAATAACTAAGTTCAAATACTTTAATTTACATTTGTGCATCTATGGTTGTAGAAGACTTTATGGAAGTCCATCATGTCCATGTACAATGTACTTTTGTTGTGCAGATTTTAAATGTACTCTACATTAGTCCACCATGGATATAGCGAGTTCTTTATTGTAAGTTCATGCCCGAGGGCTAATGTCTATTGCAAACAGACATTACCTGACAAGAACAAGTGCTAACACGACGTTATAGCAAGGTCTTCTACTCTAACTTTCTATCTCTACTTAAACCTAATAACGTACATTTACAAGCCAAAGATCGGATATGTGATACATAAACAAGTAGGAGGAACATGATAACTTTTTTTTTATATATGACCTTTTCCCCAGCTGTATGACAAGATCAGGCGTTCAGAGCAGAAGTACAAGGTGGCGCTGGACGTGTTGTCTTACCACAGCACCTGCTCAGAGTGCGAGTTCCAGCTGCTGAAACAGGCGCTGGACAACGCGGAGCAGCTGCCTGATGTGGAGGAGGTGGAACTCGCCAGGTCAGGCCGCGGTCTACAAGAGTGTTTAGTGTTTAAAGTTAAAACTTTTGATCCAACACAAAGAAATCTCTCACCTAGAGCTTTCGACCAGTCACTCTGGTCTTCCTCAGTAGAATGACCCAGTGAAGCTGAGGAAGAACAGTCTACTGAGGAAGACCAGAGTGACTGGTCGAAAGCTCTAGGTGAGAGATTTCTTTGTGTTGGACCAAAAGTTTTAACTTTAAACATGTAACTACCAACACAGATGAACTTTCATGATAGTAAGAGTGTTCAGTTTTAGGATCTGAAGCTTTTATCCAAGCATCTAGATTGATACGTCGATGAAGGTTAGATATCCAGGTAATAAGATACGCCAAACACAGTTACTCAAGCAGCTGGATATGCTTTTGGAAACAGTCCGACGTTTCAGGTACGCTCGTAGCTTCCACTACCTTTCGTCAGTGACACTAGAGAAATTGCGCAGAAAGGCAGGTTTATAAGCAAGAACTATTGATAGATATATGACCCTATGTAATTAAGACGTTTTCAAGAATTTATGTCACTTGTATGTATTTAACCACACTTTTTCCCCAGGGCAAGCCCTTAATAATAGCTTCAAGCTAGTTGGGCTGCCCTGGCTGTTTTGTACCAGCCGAACTAATAAATAAATAAATATGCAAATTAGTGAAGACAAAAGATCTAGATTGATATTCGTTTCCAGTCTAATCATCAAATCTTCAGGCAAACTTGCCATCTTAGTCTACAAGTCAGGAGTGGTGAACTCATGAATCTTTGTGTTGTTTGCTGTCCACAGATTTGAGTACTCTCCCTGGAGCATCCCGGACGACGTGAAGCCGCTCTACGTCATTCTGATGTTCAAGGATCTCTTTTGTATGAGCAAGTCAGTCGCCTCACCTCAATACTACCATTTAAAAGCATGGATCTAGTTTTTTGGCTATGCGTTGTTCCTGTCATTTATGTATTAAGGCTGTATCATGTACGGTGTACGATCGCTTAAAAATAACCTAGAGAGAATTAAGAAAGTGACCCAACCAGTTGCTCTTAGTTTCCTGCACATTCACTTTACACACTTGCTAGCTCTAACGTACTTCTAACAACCGTAATCTCACATTTCATCCTCTTGATAAGATTTGACATGGAGCAGCTGATCCGGTTTACGATGACGGTGAGGAAGAACTACCGCCCGGTGCCGTACCACAACTGGTCCCACGCCTTCTCCGTGGCGCACTGTGCTTACACCGTCATCAAAACATCACAAGATGTCTTCACTGGACTGGAGGTAGCCTCTCTGGGTTCTCACACCGCGTACAACTCTCCTGAATACAATGGGACACTAAAAATACATGATAAAACCATATTGTTATCTCTATCAGATCACCTGTTTTTGGTGATTGATCACAAAAGTGCTGTTCTGTTCGTCCCTAAACATGGCATTTATAAAAACAATCTTACCGCACAAACACATTTTATGAGACTTAATTGAGTAATTCATTTCTATTACGGTTGATGCTGGCAAAGAGTTAAAAACGTACAATGACTTTTATTACGTGATCGAACACAAAAGTGCTGTTCTGTTATATATAACGTTAGCCATCGAAAATGTCAGTCATAAACGCAAACAAATACTATGAGGGACTTGAGCAAATCATCTCTGGTTGATACGAGTACAACGCCAGTCTTGTGACTTTTGTTTGCGAGCAAAATTAAAAATAAACAGTCAAATATGAGTGCAATCATTACACAGTTAAGTCTTCTATAACATAATGCCAATGTCACCTAACGTTTGCCTGCCATGCCATTTCCCCCTGTAGTGCTTGGCCCTGTTCGTGGCGTGTCTGTGTCACGACCTGGACCATCGCGGCAAGAGTAACATGTTCATGGTGAAGAGTTCGTCCCCGCTAGCGGCGGTGTACTCCACCTCCACCATGGAGCATCACCACTTCAACCAGACGATCACCATCCTGCAGCACGAGGGACACAACATCTTCAAGCACCTCAGCTCGGAGGAATACAAACAGGTGGCGCAACTTATCATGAAAGTTAATCTGTGTTGGTTTGGTGGTAATCATAGTAAAAAGTTGAACTTTATTCCAACGCAAACATTACAGTCACGTGTATGTACATTGTAACTGTAATTCTCGCGACGTTTTGAAGTGATTGGTCATTCATTATGCTGACGAAGGCGACTGGTCGTTGAAGATTTGATTTCTGTGTAATCTTTGGCTGAAACGTCGGCTGAATAAAAGACTTGGTTGTCTTTACTCAGTGACTTACCAACATGATGAAACTATTCACTATCAAACTAGCAAGAACAGCATCATGATATTACACTGGATACATCGGAGTAGTTTTTATACCATGTGCTTGTATTTGTGCACCTCTCAGGTGTTGGGATATATCAAACACGCCATCCTGGCCACCGACCTCGCGCTCTACTTCGGCAACAGCGACAGGCTGCGGGAGGTGGTGGCCAAGGACGAGTTCTCCTGGGAAAACGAGGATCACAGGTCTTCACTTCCGTCTTCACTTTGTCATATCACGTTTTTTTCAAAACGAAATGGATGAATGATACAGATGTAAAAATAGCAGCACTCTTCAAGAAAGATGGATTTTCTCCATCTTCTCGACTTTCTTTTTATATATATATAATTACCAACAGAGCGAAAAGAGCAATCTCGCACAGTTATCGTCGCAATTTGTCACCTGAGACAAAGGATATATGTGTAACTAGCTCTTGTGTACTATGTGTACGCACAGAGATGTAAGACGCGTGTATTCACGATGCGGCATGTACAGCAGAAGGCATCTGTAACAACAACCAAGGATTCAGCACCACGGTCGCCAGACCACGGTCTCTCATATCACTGTATCTTCTTTTTCATGCATGTTGTTTGCATGTATTCGCGATAATCGCCTCGGGCATGTATTCGCAATAATCTTTCATTATTTAAACAACAACAACCGCTACTTAAAATTGAAAGGCTTCTTTGTGTCCGCATGTTTGACAGGGAGCTTGTCCGCGCCGTTACCATGACGGCGTGTGACCTGTCAGCCATCGTCAAACCCTGGGAGATACAACAGGAGACGGTCAAGGTCATATTTGAGGAGTTCTACAACCAGGTAGGGTCATACAACAGCTAAGTAAATAACATTTTTGTAATTTTTAAAGAGCTGTCCTACATATCTATGTCGTTGAAGAGTGTGGTGGTGAAACTCGGTGGTCGTGTGGGTCGGTGGCGTAAGGACAGAGCGATCGGAACCAAGAGGTCCCGAGTTCAATTCCTGCACTTAACGCGAATTTCCTCACTTTACTCAGGTGGAAATGAGTATGACTGTTGCCCGTTCATGCATTTGTCTGCGTTGGTGGCTGCACAAATATAAGTTGAAAAAAAAAAAACACTTGAGTGTGCCGTCGCCATGTCTTATAATAAATGTAAAGAATATATGACTAAAGTCTATTGGAATAGAAAAACACCGTGTCTGATCTTCAGGGAGACGAGGAGCGGGCCCGCGGGCAGGAGCCGGCGCCGATGATGGACAGGCGCCGCGCGCACGAGCTGCCCGCCAACCAGGTCGGCTTCATCTCCGGCATCTGTCTACCCTGCTACAGGATCCTGGCTAAGGTCATTCCGGGGTGCGAGCCGATGGTGGAGGGCACCTTGTGAGTCTTATTGTTTGAAAACATCATTCCTTCTTCTTCTGTTTCCAGTACTGTTTGGCAGTCATTGCAGACAGAAGTTCAGGTCCTTGTAAACCAGTTTCAGATTCTATGAGTCGTGGCTGGACGACAGATCCTCCTCAACTTCATTTGATTAAGTATAACTAATTTATGTTGATTGATTTCTGTGGCTTGTGAAAGCGAGTCCCAATATTTTTTTCGATGTCACCTTGGGAAATTCCAGGTCATGTTGGGAAATCCATCCTTTAGTTCTCAAGTCGTGTTGACTGTTGTTGTGTCTTTCAGGAAAAATCTAGAGCAGTGGAAAATTCTGGCCAACAAACAAAAAGCGAAAGAAGAGAGAGAAAAATCGTTGTCACAAGAGACACCCGAAGAAGAGCCTAAAGAGGAGGTGGTGACAGAAGCGAGAAAAGATCCCGATGAGAAGGAACAAACCGACCAGAGTCCCGCCAAGGAGCGCGTGCTACCGAGAGTATCCAGCCACAGCCGTGCACGCTCCAGCAGCCTGGGCGACAGCATCGACGCCACCATTGAGGAGGGCGACGAGGGCGGGGCAGACTAAAGGCATGTGGCAGACTGAGGCAAATATCAGGCCATCAACACCTGGGTCAGAGACACAGCAAGATCCACATATTGTGGAACCAGACAGAGACAGGGTTGGTTATTTTCAAAGACAAACTCTGACTAAGCTGTTACTGATGTACATCAGTAATACAAAGACATGTCACAAGACACATTGTGTGACAGTGCTGGTGAGTTACGCCGAGGGGTGATTTTACTGACTATACGGATACGGATTAGCCTCTACCAGGCTTCGGGGGGCAGCTGGAAAGAGTAGAAATTGGCCAAATAGGCCGGAGGAGTTGTTCCGCTAGAAAGTACAGTGTTGGTGTGGCAATCTACCTTCTAGCGGATCAACTCCATTGGCATGTTATGGAAAGACCTGCCCTTCCAAACGAGGGAGGCAAACCAACCACAAGAAAGCTATTTGTAATTGGCCAATTTCTCCTTTTCCAGCCGCCTCCTGAAGCCTGGTGCAGGCTAGATGCGGATACCAAATTTGGCAGGCAGGTGCTTCTTCCTAAAGTTACTGAAGATATGTGAAGTGGTTATCTATGTTGTTCCACTGTGATGTCAGCTTTACAGCTGTAACTATGGCCATCATGTGTGTGGCGTGAACAGCATTTCAATTTATACATTCCTCCATGTACATACTTCTACAAAGCATCTATAAACCTTACAATCTGCCATTCTGGTAATACCATGTACTACCTGTAACCCTAAGTCGAGTCATCTTGAAATGTCATGTTCATTGTACAGTATATTAGAACCAGAAATTATGTGGTCTTCTTCAGCCATCAAATTGCTCACCATGTAAATTGTTCCGTGTATTTTTAGACCCTTGGGTACTGAAACAGTTTCACGAAGAACTTGCACCTGTTATTTGTGATGTCTTTAATTCATGTCTCAATAGCTGTACGTTCCCCTTGCAGTGGAAGGAAGCCGTAGTCAGAGCAGTTCCTAAGAAACCACGACCACATTTCCCAACAGAATACAGACAGATCTCGTTAGTTAGCTGTGTAGGGAAAGTGTATGAAGGGCTGCTCAAGGACGCTCTTCTCCAGGATACCGCCAGAAGCCTCGCACCGTCCCAACATGGCTTTCTGGCTAGGAGGTCAACTGTTACTGCGCTGATCTACACTCTCCAGACATGGCATGAAGCGTTAAACAGTAACCCGAAGCGAGATGTGCACGCGGTTTTCGTTGATTTCACCCGTGCCTTTGATACCATCTCTCACAGTCAACTTCTGATGACTCTAGCTGACATGGGCATCAGGCGGTGCCTATGGATGAACATCAGCAGCTATTTAGAAGGCCGAACACAGAAGGTTAGATGGGGCCCTTGCCTATCTAAGTCCCACGATGTCACAGCTGGTGTTCCACAGGGTGGCCTTCTGTCGCCAACACTTTTCGTCATCTGCATCAATTCGCTGGATGCAAGGTTGCCAAGGTCTATTATCCCTGTCAAATACGCGGATGATTTAACAACCTCCGAAACGTTGATGGCTTCCCTTCCTGGTCTGACTCAAAATGCACTTGACTCCATTGTTCAATGGGGGGAGACCTACTCTCTCGGCGTGAACGGGAAAAAGACAATGGACATGGTTATAAGCGCAAGAAAGGAGGCAAACATTCCTGTCCCTCCCCACCCAACTATATCCGGTCACGTGATCCAGAGGACTACGTCTTTCAAACTCCTTGGAGTTTACATCACTGCTAATCTTACCTGGGACACTCACGTTCACTACATGCTGGCAAAATCTCGACCACGTGTATATTACCTTACTGCTGCTAAGAAGGCCGGGCTCCCTACTGATGCGTTAATTCAGATCTACCTGACATTTATTCGCCCTCTGTTGGAGTATGCCAGCCCTGTGTGGGGAGGACTCCCAAAATACCTTGCCAACATGCTGGAATCTGTCCAGAAACGGTGTTTGAGAATCATTGGAGTTCCTACTGACTCTCTGCCGTCGCTGTCAAGTAGACGCGACGCTGCTACATTGAGAACATTACGCAACACAATCCGGGACAGTAGCTCGCCTCTGAATGAGTTCATCACCCCACCCCAGGATAACCACTGCTACAACCTCCGTCGTGAAGGTCGTTACAAGCCAATGACTAACAGTAAAACCAAGAGACATGAACTTTCTTTTATACCCAGATCTCTGAAATTACTGTATCAGGCTGACTGCTAACACGACCATGATTTACTGTATTGTTTAACTGTGTATAACTGCTCAGTTTGTGAGCGTGTCGTAGCTGTTATGTGTAAGTGAGTTGGACATGATTCTACATCTTTTATCTGTGCATAACATTTTAAATACGTAATTTTATAGTAATTTTAAATGTTTTTCTGGTGATTTTACAATTGTTAATGATGACGCACTTCATGTGCATGTGAATTGTCACGTACATGCAAAGTCATTATCAATAAAACTGAATCTGAATCTGTAAATAACCTGGAAAGCTTAAATCATTTGGTGGTGCTTACATAATACATGTTGACTTAACAAATGGTGTTGCCTACAAAAACCATAATACAGTGCATTGTTTTTAATTAAAAAAATCTTGTATCATTCCTTGCATATCAACTCAATATTGACACGGGTACTGACAGAGTATATATATATGGTTAACTACTTTTCTGTGACTGTTACTTCATGCTTGTGGAAACACTGCAATGGTTATGTACAGTAACAGTCTGTGGGTGATTGTGGATGTTTATGTGTACATAATGTTAGATATTTACTATGGTCAACAACAAAGGCTGGAATTGATTGCACTGAGCAATCAAGGGAACAAAACAATTGTAATCTTCCCCTAGTAAAAATGTCGCCACCCCCCTCCCCAGTCCATTTTGCCATGTCTCTCATCTGTTGTTCCTTATAGGAATCTCTCGTTTCTCTTTGAACCCTGTAGAAAGTGTAGCTACATGGATCCAATGTACACCTTTCATAATCAGCTCTGGCTCATCAGCAATCTCATATGCATTTCACTCCAGGGCCAGGATATTACTTGTTAATACTCTGTGATGGAACCTGTCCTTTCTGTGTGACTCATGACCTCCTGTATCATATGGAATTAAAATACGGATTCATGAATGCATGAGTTGGTGTGCAGCTTAACTTTGTGAAGATCAGAACTTATCCTCTTATTCATGACATTGGGGCACACCAATTTAATTTGTTGGTTCACGGATTTGCCTGCTTCAAATTTTTTTCTGCTTTGAAAAAAAAACCTTTCTGGCCCTGAATCAACTCCAAAGTGTTCATATTTTGGTCCCAACAGTTGAAGGAAATCCCCACTCTTCACAGTTGTTACACTTTTTCAATCTATCAAAGTATCTTTTATGAAAAAATCTGAGAACCAACAAATCAAAATGGTGTGGCCTTAGTTATCTTCTCTATTTGCAGTATGATAGAATGCACTGAACTACCACAGTAGAAAGAAATAAGCAGACCATTCCACTTCTGTAGAAAAGCACAACACATCTTTATTTCTTATGCTTATAAAATATCAAATCTGTCAACAACCACTTGTTTACAGGTCATCAGCATGTATGGTTCAAAGTTCACGGTTGAAATGGTTATTTTTATGGTTCAACAGTCAAACAACAAGTAAGTGCCCACAGCAGTCTGGGAGCCTGCATGCAACCTTGGTAACAAGCACATCACAAACCACACAATCAATTGAGTTTGGACAATTCTGTCTCCATGGCAACAAAGGTTCTGTTCCCAAGGCAACACCACAATTGATCCGTCAGGATCAACTTTTACTAGAATTCCTAACACTAGGAGCAAATGATAAAGTGGCCATGAACAACGTTCATGAATGATGAAATGGCACACAAAGTCATTCATATTTCCAACCTACTGACAAGTTTTGGATGGTTTTGCTCCAGGAAAAATTACAACAGTTTAAACTTGTATCTCGAGGACATAATTTGGTTGGTTGTATCTTTTACACCACTGTTTTCAACAGGACTGCACAAAAATCTACCCCAATGTTTTATTTATTTTTAGAAGTCGGTTAATTTCACTTAACCTAACACCTGTTTGCCTTGGTAGTTGTTGATTTGGGGCCATGATTCTGTTTGGTGCTAAATCACAGTCTGTTGCTGAGCTCCCAATGATGGCAAGCTTTGACACAAATGTTCCTACAAAAATCCATCTTACCCTCCTATCTTAACTAGTTATAGATGCAATCACACACTTCACTGTTGAATATCAACATCCAATACTGAGGTAAATGCCATATATGGTAATCACTCACTTTCCTAATTTGGCTTGCATGACCATATATGGAGATGTCATGAGAAGGCGGAGTCAACTACCTACGAATCACAGCAGAGCTCTCTGCTACACAATTCACATCAGCTTTCATACATAACCAATAGCATACGATCTTTCAAAGTTTTGAAACTGTACAAAATAGTCTATCTATCTTAGCTATTCTCTGGCACTAGAAAACTAAGTACATTACATGGACATACATTACAATCGATGGCTGAAACTAGTCACAGCTACACACAACACTTCAATAAAAATATATAAATTTCGCATAATTAGCTTTTGCCTTTCATAACACAATTGACTTCCCAAACAGACAGTGTTCCCATGTCACCAAGTCAACAACATTTTTTTGTTAAGCACTGGAGGAGTTTTTCAAATCAACATTCCTACCTCTAGTGGCCCTCTTCTAATAACGAGGAAACCTATTACGCAAGTTCCTTCATGATTGGCTAGCAGTCACATGGCCAAAAAGCAGCAATCTTTACAAGCAGAAACACACTTTAACTGAATCTTACTACCTGAAAATCTATGTTCCTATAGCTTTACATGTAGTTCCTATACAGCCATCATGATCAATACTCAAGGAAAAAACACCTTTCTTGCAGCCTAGTTGTAGCAACTGGCCATTTTTGGTCACAGCTTGGACATAAACCAAGGACAAGCTTTTTACAGATGGGATGGATACTATTCTTTTGACAACATTTCTACAGAAATATAGTGGGGCATTGTAAATGCCATAGATTACTGGCTAACCCTAAGGCAGATCCGATGTTACATTGTACTTTAATAGAGTATCACTTGATTCCACTGTACAATAGGTGTGGTTCTTGTTTGAAAAACTCCTCCATGTCTTGCGTTTTAATCAGAAAACTTCAGCTGTAATCAACAGGCAAAGGCACACAAATGTACTGACACAACTTGGCAAACACATTTCCTATACAACAACATCTGCTCAAGAGACAAAGGTCAAAAAAAGCCAGAATGGTTCACACAGAAAAAGACCTCGAAACATACAACAGTTCCTACAGGTGAACAATCATAACCTTTGGCAAGCTGAGAGGGTTCACTAAGATGTCCTCTAACAACTGTCTGTACATAAAATACGTTCCTATAGCATCAATGTTATCCTAGGACTGTTACCTCTCATGATCATCGGCCAAGAATCACATTTAAAGCCTACATTCCAACGGTTGTAAATGAAATGCTTCACTTTTTCATCCTCATCACTATTGCTGGATTTCATTGACAAATTTGCCTGTGTGAGTCACACAGCAGCAAAGCTAAGAATGCCTATTTTTATATTTCCATTTCCTCTCATCATCAGCAAGGTCATGTGATCTCTAATACATCGTAAACAACTCTATTTACAAAAAAAATTTGCCCCGCGGGTCATGATTGGTTACATGGTGCATGTTGGTTTGGTACCCTGACTTGAACACTGCTATTGAAGGCTTTCCCAAACTTTGCATGTACAGAACAGGTTCTGTGGATGATATCCTAACTATTCCTTGCAACTGATCACTGTAGAGCAGCTTATGGAAACAGGTTCAATGTCAACCACGCTGTATGGTAGCCTTCAGTTTACAGATTGAAGTTTGTTTGTAAGGAGTCCACAAACTTTGGCTTTCAACTATGATTCGGTTGAGAAACTGACCAAAGACGTTTCTTGCCAGCACAGTACTGGCAGGAGAGAGGAGGCAAAATCGGTCGGACTGATGATAGGTAGAGCTGGGAAAGGGTGGGTCATCTCTTGTTTGGTGGGTCCACGAGGTGCCTCTACTACTGCAGATGTCTCGGTGTTTGTTTGAAGACGGATCTGGACTACAGGGAGAGGTGGCTGGCTCCGGGCTACAACAAGTTCAGGTCCAGCGCGTGATGTAGAGCGGCGAGGTCGTTATGACTGGATATCCGCCAGAACGGCCACTGTAGCTGCGGGGGGCAAACAGGAACACCAGTTAACAACCATGCAACAAAGTAACTCCAACTTCATAACTACATTTACATCTTAGCCTGGATGCCAAACCCACAGCACAGCACACTAGATAACTTTGAGCCTAGTGTGCTGTGTGTCTGGCATCCAGGCTACATTTTCTTTGATCATCTCCATACAGTATAGGTTCACACTACCTCATATCATCACATCACATCACATCACTTCTTACAGTGTATTTCTTCTGTGTTCCTAATAAGGCTAAATTGTGTTGGAAAACTATCCAGGATATCCTTGTGTATCTTAAGATATACTACTACTGTGTCATTCTAAAGGGAATGTGGAAGATTACCACCAAAACAAGTCACAATAATTTGTTTCTTTTACTGAAAATCTTTGACAGCAGAATTCTATGGGCTAAGGCAGAACTAGTCATTAAAGAATCCTATAAACACATACCTGTTTGGCGGCTTGTTCCTCGTCTCTCCCGTCTCCCACCACCACGTACGTGACCTTCCGACCAAACCTGGAGACAATTCTCTCAAAACAACTCTCCTTCCCTAGAGGGGGAGGGGGAACAATGGTCATTCAATGGGAAAATGAAGAGAGGAGCAGTTAGTGGAGTTGTTAGTCTGAATATATCAAGTTAGAATGTGTTCTATTTCTGCATCGGGCTAGATTAGTTGTACGAGTCACTCCTTCAATGGCTTATGACAGCAACTCTATTATTCGACTTTTGGAAATAATCATGAACATGCTATCACGGTTATGCCAGTGCTAAATTTCTGAGTCCATAGGATTTCAAGCACTGAAACGTTTTGTGTCAAATCATCATCTAAAATGGCAACAAAAGCCACAGAAGGAGTGGTTCCTAAAATCATCAACATCAGAAATCATTAAAAAATCATGCAAACAAGGATGCAAAATGCCTCCTTCCATGCACATGCTCTGTTTTCTTTATTGATTGGGTGTCTCATGCATGATTTAGGTGTGATTCTGGTCAGTTTTACCTTTCTTTTTTTTTTCAATTTTCTCAACAAGCAAAGCAACATGGTATGTCATCCACAGTTCAAAAGTAGGGGATCCAACCATTTTTTTTTGTTACATTGGAGAACATGTCAAACTATACTCAAAATAACAAATAAAAGAAGTTACTTCATGAATTAAACTTGTCTGCAGTTTACATAAGGATGGACAAGGATGGTTGTAGGGATGAAAAATGGAGGCAAAATTCAACAGAAGACTTGATATTGTTAAAAAAATGCAGTTGAAACGGATGACAAAATATGAAATGTTGACTTGGCATCAGAAGGCAATCAAATTTCTGTGGAAGGCCCCTACTATCTTTCCTTGTCCGTCCATCACATGTTACATGTATGTTTCCTTATAGAAAATACAATAATCAAGGGAAGAATCGTTCCACTTCTGAACAGGGACGACCATCACAGGTTGCTCAGCTTGTTGACAAAATTGCCCCTATCCCTGGCATCACCTACTTACCAACTTTGGTAGCACTATAAATGTTTTCTACTGGGAAAACTCCACCCAGGCCGTAAAGGAGGCATTTGGCAAGTGCGGGGACAAGCTGAGTGGTGGTCACAAGCACATTCACAGTGTTTGACCTACAGGAAGAAACAGCAACACACGCAGGGGATTAGACGTGCCGCCCCTCTGCACAGGGAGGGAACACCCCCCGGAAAATACAAGTGGTTGGCTCCAACTGATAGCAGAATATGACAGTTCTACGATATATTTTGTCTGCAATGTTTTTTGTTTGTTTTCTTCACATTTGGCATCAGTCAAATATCGTATTGATTGAGAATGAAGTGGGATGAGAAAAAAGTTTCCTCCCATGATAGGAAAACACAAAAGTCAGTTTTCCTTCACTGTCTTCTGCACTCATCATAATTAGAACCAACCATTGCAATGATCCAGTGAGGGGTGTTAGTCCCACTCCTGAGCCCTTGGAGCGGCACATGTTAGTGTCACACGGCTACTTACCGATCTTACTAGCGCTATAAATGTTTTCGACATTGAAGACGCCCCCTAGCCCATACAACAGGCTTTTGGCCAGGGTCGGGACCAGGTGAGTGGTGGTAACCAGAACGTTTACACAGTTCGGCCTACAGGGGAACAGTTTAACAATAAAACACTTGCTTTTTTTTAAAAAAAGAAAAAGGTAACTGGTGAGGGACCGTAAGTTGGTAGCAAAAAGGAGGGTACATCTAAAGGGGAAGCCCACTTGCAACATGAAAAATCAAGACCGTCTGGATGCACTGACAGGGAGACAAAAGGAAATCAAACATTTCTTAAAAAGCATCATGCCTTTGTTTCTCATTACAGTGCTTATAAGTCTATAGGGAGTGTACTTAACAGCCACACATTGAGGCATACTACATACATGTGGCATAACATAAGCACATACATACATACATCTACATGTACTTGAGCAATAATAATACATAATATAATGGTTCATATGTTGTTCATAACAGTAATTTGACTTGCTTACAAGCAACTTCATGCATATCTTCTGTTTCTTGAACAATTAACATACTTTTACAGGCAACATGACCTGACTTACATGCAGACTTTAATTTGACTTGCATACAAGCAACATCATGCATGTCTTCTGTTTCTTAAAGAATAAATATACTTTTTCAGGCAACATTCAAAGCTTACGGCTTAATTGAAGAAGGAATGAGAGTTTAGCCCTTACCTGGAGTGGATGATAGATAAGGACTTGAGTGCGATGGTTAGCCAGGAGTCCGTCAGGGCTTCAATCTCTGACCTCAGTTGTAACCACTGCTCCCGCTTGGCTGGACCCAACATGCCTGGTAAGGGTGGTCAAAAGAAAGACTTCAGTGCATCTCTTGACACATTAATCCTTAGCAATAAGCTTTTGCTGTTTGTTTGTTTGTTTATAAAATAAACAGAACAAAAGAAGATGTGCAGGGGGAAAATAAAAAGCCGTTATGGACCTGTCTGAGATCTTCCCCTGGCAGCATTAATTGTATGGCACATTATCATATTATTTTCCAACATGTAATCACCAGACGTGGTGACAGCACACTCAATTTTTTTCAACTTATATTAATGCCGCCATCAACACAGGGGACAAATACATGACAGGACAATACTCATTTTCACCTGAGCGAAGTGAGGAAAGTCGTGTCAAGTGCCTTTCCCAAGGGCACAAGATCGGTGACTTGAACCCAGGACCTCTAGGTTCCGAGTCGCGCACTCTGCCGCTACACCACACGACCCCACGATAATTATAACAGTTAAACTATGCAGTTAGATCAACACTGCACATTATCCAAGTGCTCTACAGAAAAGTGTATTTCAGCAGCTATACATACCTCCGACATTGTTTTTGTAGCTGTTGTAAATCTCCTTTATGCGTCGATACCGGAAAGCCAACTTTCTCATCCAGTCCACCCCTCCCCGCACGCCGGTCGCTAGGCACAGGTTAGCACTGGTCGCTGCCGCGTGGAAACCGTCCGTCGCAAAGTTGTAGGTACTGCAGGGGGACAGAAGAAGAGGAAGAACTTAATTGCACGACAGTTGTAAAGGGTATACATACATAGTTGGTGATATATCTCTGTCTTTGTATGACATAGTGTTACAATGTATATTAGTCTTACATGCGATATATTGTGACAATTTTGTCAGTCTTCATACATTATCTATCATAAAATGGAATTCATTTTCAATAGAGTAGGCATCATTAGTAATGAGAAAGCACAATGTATTTCAGGACTTGGAACATTGCAATACTGCCTTTTTTAATTTAATTTTGATACACCTATCCAGGTATCATCAGCAGTAGCATGTAGCGTATCAAGGCCAAACAGGGTTTCTAAGCCCCAGGACTTGGAACATTGGAATGCAGTACTGCCTTTTTTAATTATCTGAGGTGAAGACATTAGTCCACCTATCCAGGTACATACATGTACATGTATAGAATCGTCATCAGCATGTAGGGTATCAATATTGCAAGGCCAAACAGGGTAGCTAAGCCCTTCTTTTTATATGTACATATACATATGTATGGTCGTATAGCTCCATAATTACATTGTATGTACAAAATCACCTTATACACAAATTTACCTAAAGATTACAGCTACACTACCCTAAAGGTTAAAGCTATACTTTGGTGAAGAGAGTGAACTCACAGAATTACAATCATGTACATGTAGTTAGGCAAAACTGCACACCATGATAATGATCTGGCCTTAGGTACAAGTTAGGGAGAATGTTCTTACCTTAGATCTTGGCCATTGTCATCTGATGATACATCATCAATGTGGACTTGGTCACATTCCTGTGGAAAACACAGATACTCGACATTTCAAAAACCATCAATAAATCTTGAGTAAACTATAAATATATCAAAATCAGACAAAATTTCATCATTTTATTTTTCTAATTAAGCACCAATTTGTGGTGAAGTGTGATTAGTAATTTGTTAATCAAACAGAGGGATCAGCAAAATAGTATACAGAACCAGGGGAAAATTGTTGAAAGTCACACCCAACATAGGTTAAGCAGAAGTTGAACTGAATATCGTGTGTTGCTTAGAAAATACGAACCACTAAATGTATACTGTTGCTTTTTTTCCCTAGCATTGGTTTGAAATAAAACCCACAAATATTACTACTATCCTGTGGAAAAAGAACAACGTTAACTCAGTAGTAATGCTTAGTATATTCAACGCTACAATTTTTCCCAAATAAATAAAGCACACGGACGAGTGATTACATTTTTTGGGGTTGCCTTGTACCTTCCCGCTGGTGCCTGGCAGACCCAATCTACAAAGATGGACAAATTAGCCCCCCACTGCCTCCAGAGCAAAATTTCATTAGTCTCAACTGGGCTGGCAAAGTAGCAACATCAGAGGTCAGGTCAGCAGTGAGCACGTGACTAAAATACTTCTGAGATGAAAAGACTGTGGGAATCAAGTCTCAAGTCTCGTGGAAGTGTGCGAATGTGACTGGAAGTGAACTTCGTACTTCACAGAAAGACTTTCAATCATTATACACATGTAGCTGCAGTATTTCCTATAAAGGCACAAAATACAGTGAACTTCATATTTTACAGACAGACTTTCAACAGAATGAAGATCTTTACATACATGTAGCTACAGAATTACCTACAAAGGCACACGACTATCTATTGTAAAACATTTATTTACTTGAATGCAAGTTTAAGTTGACATGCTTAAATGGGAACCTGGGAACAAAGGGAACTGGGCTTTATCAACTTCATGTAAAAGTCTAATAATGACTGAAAATATCAGGGAGACTTTTTTTACAATGTACGTCCCTGGAGACCTAAGAAAAGGGCTCACTCCAAAAATGCATTAAGTAATGAAAACATTCCTTAAGAATGCAAGGTTGCAGGGGATTAACAAATCTACCCCTTGGTAGCACCACCTAACTTTGTTATCATGAGTATTTGCTTCATCTCACAGACTTCAAAGAGAAGAAGACACCGCTAAACAAAAAGCAGTTTAAGGACAGATTCCAAGATTCGCCACTTGTAGAAGACCAGCAAACTTCATTAGAATCAGCTGTTTTGTGCCTGATGGGAGCTCACAAAGGCCCCTCACATCCTCCTGGGACCTCCTGTCGAGAATTGGACAAAACATCACCCAGCAAAATTAAAACCTTTGCCCCCCATTTCCTAGCTTAATAACTATTAAGGCAGAAGGAAGTAGGCGCTTAATAAGTTTAAATCAAAATGCAGCCAAGTGAAAACTGTCCAATTAAAATCTGACAGACTCCAATTTGTCCCAGTCAGCTGCTAAAAACATGCAGGGGAAACCCAATTAGGGGAGAAAAATGAGCAAGAAAGTGTTTAAAGACTAATTTTTGGACACTGTTACAAGGTAGTCTAGCTGTGAAACTAAAGGGAAGGGATGGATGTCAGGACTAACATAAACATGGTGAGGGAGTCCATAAAGACTTTACAGTCCCATGATTTTCCTTTCCCATCCCATATACATGTATCTGGTTCATGAAACCCAGTTTATACCTGGTGATTTGCATGCGGTACCTACTACATGTAGTAGCAGACTGACTGCTAACAAAGACAGATAGTACATTATGGAAGGCCATGGCCAGGAAGTAGAGTATACTGTACAACTCCATAGATTGTAATATGATGAAGTTTCAATCTTTAAAGTGAAGAATGTTTTGCTGCTTAGGACTAGTGTCAAGAACCTACACTGTATAGAAGTGAAGCACGGTGTAGATGTGAAGTAGTCATTCCCTGGGATGTTAGAAGTCTGCACTTCTTTATCATTGATAGGATCACTTAGTCTAGATGTTGGAGACTTTCCTCCTGAAGTACAGGTAGTGACCATGACCAAGTCCTCATCACCCCGGGGGCGGGCGCATAAGCCCCCTATTTCTCCCCCGTCATGGATGCAGGACTTGAGCAAATAGCGGCAGGCAGTTGAGCCTCGGATGAGCGATGAAGGAATTTTGCGGGAAACAGTGCATTTGTGGAGACAAATCTCCAGAAAATCAGATGAAAGCCCTTGTTTAGTCAGTGCCAGGAGCACCTAATGCACTTGAAGCCCTTTCACAATGAGCTGTCTTGTCTAATTGAGTTGGGAATGCTCGAGCAAATGGGATTTGGGTGATGAAGGGACTTCACAGCTAGGAAGGAGCTGAGACTGGACTCAGAGGAATGGAAATGGAGGCTTTCCCTCTAGCCTAAAGGGGCAGCAGGTACTTAGTGAGGAAACAAATTTTCAGCAAGGTTTCCTGCTTCCAGAAAAACAATACATTGAGCAAAATCAGATATGCAAAATACAATAGACTGTTGGATCCCAACAACAAAATGCTGCTTCAACATCTGCACGAACGTTTCCTTACACCCATCACACATCTACAAAAATATGCAATTGTTTAGAAACGGGCTCATCCTTTACTTTGCACAGTGGTTTCTGTGAGTTCGGACGATGGTCGATACACAGTGGGATTACCTGCCTGTGACTTGGATCCAAAAACAGGGATGCGCCCACAGCACACTAATCCCCAAGATTAAGACTGGTTTGACTTATAAGCCTGGCAAGACAAGGCCAATGCCAACATCTGTACTAATCAGGTGAAGATCAGCAAAACAATATCTCTTTGTAATACCCCAAGTGCAAGAGCATTATTGCCTGTAGATGAGGTACAAGCACGAAACTCTCTTGGACTATAACTTTCCTTGGCAAGCAACTTTAAGACCATTTCATTACTAGGGAGCTCTTAACAAGCTGGAGGCAACTCTACACCATGAAATTGGTACTGCTTCACTTACAATCAGACAATTCAGCAGCAGCAGAAGTTCAGTATTCACAAAGTTCCTGTATAGTAGCATAAATGTATTTTTTTCCCAGCAATTACAATTGTGAGAAAAGCCATGTGCTAGAAACTGTCAACTGTAACCACAGCGTTATGCTAGAATGTTTGCTTCGACAAAACATTTCCAGTTTCATAGACTTTACATGTATCTCCACATGGCACCTAGTTAACACCTCAGTTGTCCTGCTCCAATGTCCCTTTTTGACATGTCTATTCCCATGCTACATTACTCACACTGCCTGAACTTGTACAAAACACTGACCCATCCAGGTAGAAACATAAACAGTGCAAAATGGAGCAGAAACATCACTAAAGCTTGCAATATTGGCTCCATCTTTGGGTGGACTTGCGTGTTTGCTTAGGTTGCTAAATCCATCCCTTTTTCTCCATCATTGTTCCTGACAGCCAAGCACAAACCTAGACCGGAGGATCCCAAGCATCCCAGCAATTTTGTCATTACTCTGATCAAGTAGGACACAAACTGCGATGTTATTAGTAGGTGCATAGGGGTACAAAGAGACAAACAGTGCAGAAATAACCAGTTTATCCTTACGTCAGCCTCTATCAATGAGACCACTAATCATCGACGGCACCTGGTAAATTTTGTGATTAAGACTTATGAACAATACATGTTAACATTTCAGTTTGAACTGCTTCGGTATCAGTTAATCACTTGATGCTGGTGAAACTTAGTCATATTATACCTTCTCAATCATTCGCAGGACTTGAAGAATGCTGTTAGCCGCTAACAAATATCGTTACAGAAAAGTCCTGTTCCTTGTCAATTATCACACTGGCCAGAACCGGCTAAGTCAGCGACATCAAGGATTGGTAGTTTTTGTTGAGCATCTAATCAGACAATGAGTTTTGTGTTCTGCCACACTTGAGTTCCTGCCAGCAGTCTAACTAACGGAGGATGAGACTGGAGCTGTGTTCGTATCTGCACATTCTCACTGCCAAGTGGACTGACATGGGGGTTCACGCAGCCTAATCTTTCCTGCCGCGAGTCTGGTGGTCTGTGCACTTCAGGTCTGACGTGGAGTCAACAAGGAGCAAAGGGGAGAAAAGATTACAACTCCGGTCAAACGGACACCTGGGACGGCTGCTTCTGTTTGAGATCACTGGCAACTTCACTTAAATCAATCTTTTAGTGGAAGTCCAAGTAACAATAGCCCTCAACCTCTCCTCACACTACCAATAGAGTTACAGTTGATAATAAATAATGGCAAGACATCATCGAACTATAGATATAATTTTACAATCTTTAGAATTGCACTGTATGATGTATTCATTGCTAGATGTTGACACCTACATGTACAAAGTTTACTAATGTATAATTGTTTATAGTTGTTAATGATAACTTATTGTCAGGAGCGTTCTGAAACAGCAGTTCCAAAATGCAAAGATCCCAAACTATCAATCAGGTAGGAATTTGGGAACTAATCCTCAGCCCATCTAATTACATCCATGACGCAACTGCAAGGTGCTGTGCTGATGTAAATGGTACAAGGAATGTCCCTCCTGCAGCATGGCTGGTCTGCCTTTCCTCAGGCCGGGGTGCTACATGGCTGCTTCCAGCTCCACAGCTTGCTGAATGTCACTCAACGCTGCCTAAATCACTGCCCTCACCTACTGGGCCTGCCCCAATATTGAAACTGTGCCGCTAGCTTACCAGGTCAGGAGTGGAGATGCACACGATAACAAATCAAAATTTTATTGGTGGGAAGACGGAGGTGGCCGACATGTTGACAGAGAGAGAGCAGGCCTTTGTCTGATTAGTGAAAAGTGACCGCTCATGTGATGCAGGAACTTGCACACCTTACGATCAGGTTCAGAGATGGAGGTCGGAAGGTTAAGAAGGTGTACATGTGTGTACTGCAGCTTAGAATCAACTGCCTGAATTTTG